ATGGCACTGCATGGGGAAAAGTGGCAAGAGGATGTTTGGATTCTACTGTTTCTTTAGACCCTGATGCTTTGTTTCCTTGAATGCCAAGGAAGAAACTTAGGTTACTATAGATGTAATTAACAGGGCATATGGAATCTACAAGAAGTAAATAAATACTGGAAGTACCTGGTGGCTCCTCCAAAATTGACCTGGGACAGAGCAACTTACTGTTGGTGTGCTAAAGACTACAAAGAATACTGAGAGTTTGTCATAGACAGCTGTATGTATTTATAACTTGCCTTGCTTTTAAACTCTGCCCTTTAGTTTCTTCTCTATGCTTTAGAACTGACAAAGTCAGCTTTAAAGAACAAACGAGAGGACAAGATCAAACATCACAGGCAATTGGATAAAAGACAAATTTAGTGCCACGACCTAAATTCTATCCCTTTTACTATTCAGATTCAAATTATGGGTGAATGCTAACAGAATATCTAGCATATAGATTTGTTTTGAAACTAGTTTGGGGAAGCTGATATGCTCTTGAGTGTAACCTAATACACTGCAGGTAATGAGCACTGAGCATAACTAAGTTCTTTGAATACATGCATTACGATCTCAGATTTCCTAATTGATAGAAGAGTGTATTGTGCCAGCTGCAAATGTAATTTGTTTGTGCCATGGTTTAGTTAAGAGGAACAGCATGGAAAGACTAATATTGCAGTAGCTTAACAGAGAAAACCCCTTTCAGTCGTTTTTGAAATTGTATTGCTATTGTTGATTTGCATTTGAGGATGCAGAATTAGCAAGCTGCACATATACAAATTGTTTCATGTTAAGGATCCCTATATTTTTCTGCATTATGCAAGGGTGTATATCGGCAGGTTCCCCGTGCAAGAACAGTATCTTGTTCTAGCACAAGCTCTGTATCCCGGCTAATCACTCCAGACAATTGTTTCCAACTCACCTGGCTGAACTTGGGTGGCTTGTATGAAGAATCTCAATGCTTGCTCAAAGTTCTTCTCATTTTCTAAAGCATGACCTACATTGTTCCAGAGTTTGGCATTGTTCTTATTCACCTGATCATAGAAAACAAATGTAGACTATATCAAACATACCACGACATTCAAATCCAAGTGATACAACCAAAAGAAATTATAAAAACACATCTCCTGTGTCTACAGCAGTCCCACAGATCCACTAAAATCCCTGCCCATCTTTCAAGCCAAGCCAATCAATATAGAAAACACTTTCTAAAATCTAACATGCATACATTACGTGCAGACTCATGGCAGATTATGACAATGCATTCACACATCACTTAGTGGTTGCAGAAAGTGATTTTAAATCAGACAATTTACCAGTCTGTTGAAATTAAGAGTTATCACCTATTTATCCATTCTCATTTTGATCCTGCTGTTTCTCTGTGGAGCATAGGATAATGTCCATGGTTGTCTCCATCTCCATTTTATTCTCATACCGTCACTAAGAGAAACAGAGACTGACTGCCTCAAAGTCACTTAGTGAACCTGACAACTGAACAGGGATCTGAACTCATGGCATGACACTAACCACTACACCACACGGCTTGGGAAAATTATGCACCACTATGGTAGAGGGGGAAACTGGCCGGTATATTAAACATGGTCATTATGAACTATAAATTCTGACTTTTCATTTATTTTCTCTCCAATTTTAAACTGAAACTAGCTTTGTCTAGTTCAAGAGTGGTTCTTGCGAAACAAAATGAAACAGAAGTCTAGTGTAGAGGTACACTTGGTACAAACCGAGCCAAAAAAAATCTGAGATATATCTTATTGGTATTTTTTGGGTATTTCCTCAGCTGATTGCTGAGGGGGGTAGTAATATGGCTATCCGAAAATAGCCACCTGAAAAATCCTGAATATTTTGGTATTTTTCGGGGCCGCCAGATACCCTGTTTCCCCGAAAATAAGACCTACCCCAAAAATAAGCCCTAGCAGGATTTCTATGCATTTGTGGTATAAGCCCTAGTGTGTCTTCTTGAGAAAAAATAAATATAAGACAGTGTCTTATTTTCGGGGAAACACGGTAGCTGGTGTTTAAAGGGAAGGCAACCCTTTTAAACACCTTCTCCATAGTACAGTTCGCAAAACACGTTTAAAATGTCCCTTGAAATACATGTTGACTCAGGTGGATAGCCATGTTGGTCTGAAGCAGCAGATCAAAGTTTCAGTCCAGTGGCACCTTTAAGACCAACAAAGTTTTATTCAAGGTATAAGCTTTCATATGCATGCATACTTTTTCAGATTCTGAAATAAATGTTGTTAGCCTTCAAGGGGCTAACAACTTTATTTTTGCTTTATTTGCTGCTTTATTTGCTTTATTTTTTGTGACAGACTGACATAGATAACACTTTGCAATCCTTTCACCAGATATATCCTAAATAAAAAAAACCTTAAAAAATTTATATTTTAATACAGCTGTGTTCATCTGAGCAAGGTCTTCTGATGGTGTCACCATGTAAAAAGGTGAGGAAAACAACTGCTTGCACCCAAGCATTCTCTATTTTGGCTCCTTGTGGAGCAGACTATCTAACAAGTCAGGTAGGTGCTCACAATTCTGTGTAAAATAGAAATGGTCAGGAGGGCAGCGGAAGGCAAAAGAGGGCACTGTTATATGTATAATACTGGTCTTGTATTGTTTTTATAATCCTGTCATTCAGCTTGAAACTCAGTGAGAAAGGTGAATGAAATAAAGTTGTACCTTTAAAGCTGACATGAACAATGTATACTCAGATTCCCAATCCCAATTCCTCTGCAGTGTTTTTAAGGCATGAATGAACAGCACCAGAGAAAGAAAAATCCAAGATAGTTTTCTTAGCATACTGTTGCAAAATAAGACAGAAAGAGGTGAAAAATATACTTTATGCCATTTTAACATTTCCAGTGAGTTACTGGCTGAAAATATCTCCAAATATATACCAGTCTTAATTTAAACCAAATCCCTGCTTATTTTTGTTGGTCACCCCCTACCTGATTTATACCTTACTCATATTTAGCACCTCACTGGAGGAGAAACCCAGCACCTGGAAAATGCTAGCACTATCTTTTAGACACTGCATTAGTAGCAGCTGCCTTTGGAGAAAGAAATGCACATGTATGCACATTATTGTTATCCTGCTGTATGGCATACAACCCACTAGCTCTAATACTGCTAAGCAAGCCCCACATGTATATTTTTATTTCACCTTTTCTCCAAGGAATTCAAAGAGGGGTGGTACATGATTGTCTTTCTCTATCTTACCCTCACAACAACCCTAAGGTTAGACTGAAAAATACAGGCCAAGATCACCCAATGTACTTTATGTCAGAATTGGGATTTGAACCCAGTTCTCTCTACTGGTACTTCGTCATTTTATCAGTCATCATCCAGATGCTTTATCATCTGCATTATACAGACAACACAAGAAAAGGGTAAAGATGAGATGGCACTAGGTAGTGGGAGAAGACAGCAGTTGAAAAACATGGAAGGCCAGGAAGGTTCAGAAAGGATTGTTACAATAGTGAGTCTTCACAAAAGAACTTGGAAAATAGCTATTATTGAGAAGAGGGTGCTCAAAGTACGAGAAGCACAAGAGCAAAATCAGGACCACAGACTAGCTCCAGCTTAATAGAAGGAGTCAAAAGGAGGGTATATAAATTTGCTGATTATATCAGTTTTAAAGAAACTGCCAGGCAGTCTTTCCTAAATTAAAAGTGATCATGAGACATGATCAGATCAAAATTGTGACCTACCCAAAAATCCCTTTAGTATACCTTCCTGATACATGAAACTACCAACTAGTCTCCTCTCAGAGCCAGGGCATGCATTACTCCTGCCACAGGGATGCTACCCAAAACAGCTTCCTTATAGCAAGTTCTCAATTTAGCCATATTGTTTAAGAAAAAACTTAGCAAAACATGCAGTCCAGCAAGGAGTAAATTATCCTTACACACACACCCCAGTCTACATCTATGCCTCTAGCAGCCAATGCATACAAGTCTACATTTAGTACTGAAGTGTTGTAGAATGTAGCTTTCACCGGTATCCCCAAGGGCTTTTCCACATGGAGATGACTCACTAGGACTTTCTTATTAGCACTGGGGCTGCCAATTAAGCACTGCTAAAAAGGCTCCCCCACATTTCCCCTGCACCAGTCCTCCCCATGCACCACCACAGGGGTCTTTCTTTAAAAAGTGGTAATTGACATGTTCATTATTTTTATCTCTATAGCCTTACAACCTAAAGAAATCTGTCAATTACTCATTTTTTAAAGAAACTTTTAAAAAAGCTACTTGGCTGTGGGAAGTAAGTTGCTCTGGTGGTGGTGGTGGTGGGGAGTAGAGGAGGGAAAATTGCATCATGGGTAGGATCACGAAAGAGCTAAACTATCCCATCCACTCAGCAGATTTTGCTGTGACCTTTCCAAAAAGATGGTAATAAAGCAGGTTTAGCAAACACAGCACGTAAGCCAGGGAAAGTCAAGGTGCATGACAGGATAATGATGGTGTGTAGACGCAGGGGGAAGGGAGGACATTTTCCGTCAGCACCAAAGCCACACTAAAAACCCAGTGGGGAAGCAACCCAAAAGATGAGCAACATCTCTCACCTGAAAATAAGGAATAGTGCCCTACTATTTAACCCATTTTAACTGTTACTAGCAAGAGAAACACTTCTCAGAGTCTATGTTATCTGATAGGTAAGAGCTCATTCTGGATTATCATTTGGATCAAAGAAAACGTCTGCCATACTAACCAAAATAGGCTTTCTTGGATTTGGCCTCATTTGACAGTGGTGGCCATTTTCTAATATGTATTTTCTAATTTGTATTTCAAAGATGACATTATTCAGTACAGGTAATAAATTTAACCTGCATTTTCAATGCATGTCAGACAGCTGATGAGAACACAGTTTTCAAAACCATATAAATTGACCAGTGGAAATGAACCACTATCGACTCTTATTCTGTGTATTTTAATGAACACATTACATTAGCAGTATAGGATGTTTTATGGCAGCATGAAAACCTGTAATAAAAGGATAGTTTCCTAAAGGCACTTCAAAATGATCAAGCAGTTCAGGATTTTGAAACAGTGGGATAGATCCTATCATTTAATGACATCGGTGCACACATATTCTGCAGGTAAAAGGCTTCAGGCATCAATGCAAGAGTGTCTAGCATCAGAGGAATGCAACTGAGAGACAGAATGAAATGGTAGGATCCAGCCCACTATTCTAACTGACCCTCTCAAGCATATCGAGGATGGAGGTTCATTAGCAGAGAATAAATTTTTTGGCTCGTGTGTCTTTTCCTTAAAAAGGTAAAGGTTCCCTTGCTCGAAAGCCAGTCGAGTCCGACTCTAGGGTTGTGGTGCTCATCTCCGTTTCAAAGCCGAAGAGCCAGTGCTGTCCGAAGAAGTTTCCGTGGTCATGTGGCTGGCAGGACTAAACACCAAGGCGCACGGAACGCTGTTACCTTCCCATCAAAGTGGTACCTATTTATCTACTTGCAATTTCTTGCTTTCAAACTGCTAGGTTGGCAGGAGCTGGAACTAGAGATGGGAGCTCACTCCGTCATGCGGCAACTCGGGTCTTGAACTGCTGAACTACTGACCTTCAAGCCTGCAGTTCAGCGTCTTAGCCACTTATGGCCAAATTAAATTTTGAATCTCTTCAGTAAGTATGCAACAAATCATGTTACATACTATTTGTAGTTGTATTTACAATTTCGGGTCTGTAACAAAATTAGTGGTTTCAGTGATTAACATCATCCTCAGATGAATCCAGCATCTGCGGTTAATCAAACTTGATCATAGAACAGATCAACCGTATAGTGAAACATAATATTGTAAAGACAGAATGCATGTTTTACTAATGCCAAAACTTCATAACCCAACCATAATGAAACACTGTTTTCTCAATGCTCACTGGAGGAAATTTGGTGCTTACAAGTTATACAGCAGCACTCTGTCTTCTAACACATGATCCAAATCTGTTCAAGAGTGTTCACTAGTACTAAATGGCAATCTCAGCAAGGTCTGTAGACATAAAAACTATCCATAGCTGCACCTGAAGAACATAAGTCCAGCACAAAGCGTTTTTGAAGAAAGATATATTCATCCTTACACCTTATAGTTCTGCCTTCATGAATCTGCTCAACAGTACAGAATCAGGTCCTACCACATACTCTAAGGAAAGTCTGAAAAGAAGTGTGAGAGAAGGGAGTCTGCCACAAGATGCACAGCAATTCCCTGGTTTCTGAGAACTGATTCCAAGGGGATTAATTTGTTCTGGGAAGTGTTCCTGTCAGACAAATGAAGTATTGTGTACACATCTGTGTTCATGTACATGTCAATGTCACTACTGAAATTCTGGTGTTCAGTGCACTCATGCAAAAAAGAAATATCCTATTAATTTGTTAAAGATTACTGAAATATTGAAGATGCTATTTGTGGCATTCATAGATACTAGCGGACTGCTTCAGTCATTGATACCATGAAAGAAACAATGATATCATGAAAGAAACAATGAAAAAGTCACATTTAATTATCTAATGCATGGCAATTAATTTTTAAATATATTTTTGTTGAACAGAATTGGCAGTTAATACCATCATCCTTTATAGAAAGAATTTGCACTGTTGGGATAAATTCTCATTAGATATGCCCAATTAACATTGGCTTTGTTCTTATTTGTTTTTTAAAATACAACTCCCCAAAATTAACCCTTTGTTTCTGTGATATAAAAAGAGGTAAGGCTAATTACATGGATTAGGGAAGGTAAAAGTGTAATAAATAACTTTGCCCCACATATGTTGTTGGAAAGCAACTGTAGTGGTTTAAAACAAAAGTTGCTGAAAATAAATCTGGTTTCCAGAAACCCGAATTGTCCATTTTTATCTACGGGCTTGTGTTTGTAACTGAGCACACACCCAGTATTTATTTGTGCTTCCCATGTGTGTACAGAAGAATTCACGCTGAAGATGTGGACCAGGTCTCTCTACTGCAATGAATGGAGAAAACTCTTGCAAGGTGGCATGCAAAGAGCGAAAGCGGCCCAGTTCAGATAATCTTCCAAATCGTTCTTTGGACGATTCAGAGTAAGCCATGGGCACATCATGTGCCTTTCCCTTGCAGTTTCCTTTTTAGTGATATCCATACATATGAACTAACAAACTATGGCTAGTACTATATACAAAACACAGGGAAACTAGAAAGGAAAAAAGAGAGTATGAGCTTGTAATATTTGTTCCAAGTGCCATGAAGCAATCCTGAGGCTTATATACCATCTTCTCCCCAACTCTACTAATGCTGTCTCATCCTACCTGGTTGTCAGCAAACTATGGTTGCTTGAGCCAGCCAGCATACTTAATTTTGCAGTTGGTCTCAAAATTATAACTGCAAAACAGATCACACTGCTGTCTGCAGTTCTGGCACGGTGGGTTATTGCATTTGCCAATTTGAACAAAATGTCTAATCACGCTTTGCCACCAACAGGAAATGTGGAAAGGTCCATGTACAGGACAAAAAGGGCATAGGAGCCTGATGCTATTTTAGAAACCACATGAAACCATAACTTGGCATTATGATGTGTTCAAGTTGCCACGCCTTTAAAAATTTCATGAATTAGTGACAAAGATATAAAGACAGCAGTGCCTGATGGCTAACCAACATTAGCTGAAAAAAGTTTGAGTCCAGTGGCACCTTTAAGGCCAACAGGTCTTACCCAGAATACAACTTTGTTGGCCTTAAATGTGCCCCCGGACTCAGACTTTGTCCAGCTGCTTCAGACCAACACGGCTACCCCATCTCAATATTAACTGAGAAACTATAAAGTGGCCTGAACTATTAAAAACAGAATTATCCCTTCAGATAGGCATATATTTGAAACACATACTTTCTTATTAAATTATAAATTTAAATTTACATGTTCCGTCAACTGAGACATCTTCTCACCTGCTGATTCTTGCCCATACAATGCTGGTCCTGCATAATTTATATTTCAGGAAGCAGTGCATTATATACAAAATAAAAACTCAACCCACTTGAAAACAGACTGACATTTATTTGTCAATATTTTGTTTGATAACTGTTTGATGGGGGGGGGGATCTGCCCTTTCCTCCCTGAATATATATGGAATCAATCAGAACTGTGTAAAGCAACAGAAGTGGATGGAAAGAAAATGAAGCAAGAAAACTTTTTGAAATTCCAGAATCCTCTGGACTCACTGGGGAGTCTCTTTCGGGTTATTTTGATTCTTTAAGCTGGCACATTACTTAAAACAATGCGATTAATGTTGGCACTTTTTTTGGTTGCTCAGGAACAGCTGATATGGGGGACATAAAGCTGGGTAAACATTTTGAAATACTGCTTGAACAAGAGTGGTTAGATTCAAGTCCAGTGGCACCTTAAAGACCAACAAGATTTTCAGGGTATAAGCTTCCAAGAGTCAAAGCCCCCCTTGTCAGATCAAAGAGTGCATCCTTTTAAAACAGCAACTTTTTTTTAAAAAAAGCACAACAGCCACATGTGACTACAAGGCCAGATAAAAACATTTTTTCAAAGAAGGAACTAATTTCATAGAGAGAACATCTGTTAAAAAGTAGTTTCCTCTTGTTACTGCAAATGAAATTGTATAGAGCAAGGCAGTGCCTAGTATACAAGTTTTCTTCACATGCTTACTATATGTTAATAATGGAATAAAATGATAAGGCCAGTGAAGAGTAAGCCATTGAGACAGCTTGCCATGCATGAAACTTCACAACTTTCATTGCCATTCAAATCCACATTTCTCCCACCCCACCCGCTGTAACTTTTAACCTACCTGTTGCTTGACAGCTTTCTCCACCCATGGGCTACTAGCATGCAGAATCCCATGCTGGGAACATATAACACTCGCTCTGCTACTACGAAGCCAACAGGAAAAAAAAGATTTGATGCTGGGATGAATGGCAACACTATTAAACAAAGTGCCTAAAAAAGCAAAAACAAAACAAAACAAAAAGACACACAAACACTAACTAGTAACTCAGAGCTGAGAGTACTTACACAGTTATTAAAGAAATCCAAATTATATTTAGTGCAGCTCAAGTATACATTTCAATTCCAGAAGTATGACAGTACATCTAATGTGGAACATATGTACTGAGTGCATAATTCACTAGCTGTCAACCACATTGCTCTATATATCAACTGCAGTAAAGTTAAATATTGTATATTATGTTTAGAAACAATACAAGGAATAAGTGAAATAAGGCATTCCTTATAGAGAACTCTTGACTTTAAGGAAGCATTCTGCAAAACGTTTTAAAAATTCAGGGATTTGTTATGCTTTATTTCATGCAACTGACTTCCTGATCCTATAATATGCCAACAGTTTTATAGCCTCCTCTTCCTCCATCAAGCTCACAACAACTTACAAGTAGGTACTCAACGGTCTCCCATTCAGGCAGCTTGCATGGCCAGACCTGCTTAGCTTCAGCAGCAGAACTGTGCTACCCACCTCCTCATCATTTTATGGACAAGGCCATAGCAGCTTGCGGGGATTCACTGAGACTAGCACTGGCTTAAAGATATACATTTCTCACTTGGTATGGAGCTGTGTCTTTCTTTAGAACATTAGCGTCCATTGTCATGTGTGTCCCCACCCCAGGCTTTACATGATAGTGGGAAGGACCAGTTATTTTGCATTCATTGGCATTATATGAATAATACATTAGCTTGGAATAGCCTCATCTGTTTGGAGCACATACTGAATGAAGCATAATGGGAAAGGCAATTAAGAGACTAGGAGTTCTTCTGGCCAACTCCTGTAATATGCAGCATCCTCATTCACACAGTGTCTTTTTGCTATGATATAGGGTCTATGCCCTCTCCTATATTGTGTGAGGTACTCTAGCGTTCAAACAGTGGCAGTGAGGAGTCCAGCATGGTCTTGCCTTGGTGATCCAGATCCCTATCAAACTCTGGACAAAAAAGCCTCTGAAAAGAACAGAAGCCACATACCTGCCTAACTTGAAGAAATGTAAAGACACACCAGCAGTGTGCTAAACAAAGAAACCAGGGGAATGCTTGGCAAGGAAGGGTGTGTGTGTCCTATTCTCCATCCCCATCCTCAGTTCAATCCCCAAGACTTGCAATTGTATTAAATTACTCTGAACCCAGCATGCTTGTTTCCTTGGTGCTAAATATAGATTTATAATTTTTTCCAGCATTCTCCTATCCCTACAAGGCCTCAAAATCCTTTGACATTTAACTTAAAGATCTTAGAAATGCACTTGTTCTTGTCACACTTGTTGAAGTGTCCCATATAATCACTTCATGTAACACAAATGCGTTAAATCCATCTGAAGTGCAAGTTACATTCCTAGAATACCGCTGCTGCAGTATGTCAAAGCTGCAAAACAAGTGAGCTGTAAAATGAGCAAAAAAAGCCTCATAATCCTTCAAGATTATCCATCTTGCTTGGATCACCTCAGCCTGCTCCTATATTGAAATGAGTTAAAATTCTCAGGTAACAGCAGCTTTCAGCATTCTTGCCATTTGCCAATCTTGGTTCATTCCTAGGACAAGTGTGTGAATACATACACACACCTCATGTTCACTCTGTTTGCAGTGCTACAGGCACAACATCATTGTGGCCTGATAAAAATCCATTTTTTTGTGTTACAAAGGAATGATAAGTCTATAGGCAACATCTGTAAATGCAAAGTTACACTGCAAAGCAGACTGTACAAAGTTAAATATATACCATAAAACTGGGCAAAGAAATGGCAAAACAAGATTAATTCTTGGTAGGCATAATGTAACATACGCCACAAATAATCCTAACTACAAATAGACAATGTATCAACCTGATAGCTACAACAGCATTTTTTGAGTACTGAACTAATGCAGCTCTACTTGTTGCAATGTTCAAGAACAAACACAACATTCTGGGAAGCTTGATAAAGAACAGAGAATCTGTATGCATGAATACCGCAAACTACGTAAGAGACTGGACATCAAGAATTTGTCTGATGCAGCCAGACTTGGCAATAAAGGAGGCTTATTTTCATTCACATCGGACTCTACTAATTCCAGTCTCCCTTTCACGTACACTGAACTGGGATACATTCAGCTTTTGGAACCAAGGAAGCAAAGATGCTGAGCTGGGGAGCATAAAATGGTACTGATCACTGTAATGGTGAGACCAGACAACACCCCCCCCCCGGGTGTATTTGCCCCTAAAAGGTAAATATACTCAGTCCATCCACAACAGCTATTAAAGGGGAAAATTGTATTACCTTCCTTTAACCAGTTTAAATAGCACTTTAAGGAAGAATGCTAATATAGACTAATGCATCTGTATTTTCTGGTAAATGGCCCTTGAGGCAATTTGATTTGTCTGACAGTATACTTGAAGAGCTTTTCAGATGCAGATTTGTAATAAAGGAGCTTGCAAAAAGGTTCTATTATAAAAACAGATCCTTCATATAATGGGAAACACACTGAATGAAAACACCAGACATCTTAATAGGAAAACTATAAACTGACAATATCAGATCAAAGAATCTGGCACTTATTTCCTCTTTGACCCTTTGTTTTTCCCTCTAAATCAAGCACTTGGATCAAAGCTCAGGATTTCTAAATAGTGGGCCTAAATTAATCTGTATATATTAATCTGTATAATGTGCACTGTTTTTAAAGAAATGAATTATAACATGGCCATCTTTCCTGTATGACAACCTTATGAGACAGGCCATCTGTTCAGGGCATTTGAAGATACATCTTATGATTTCCTGTGCAAAAAACTACCTCCAGATAGTCAGGCAAGTCTCCAATGGCTGCACCATATGCACAACTGTCATTTAACTGCTTGCATTTACACAGGGCTGCATTATTAGCTACATACATACATGTCATTCTAGCCTTGATATGCTATTGGTTCCTCAAAGGTTATAGGGGAAACAAAGAGAATCTTATGTACAGCCTCCATAGCACTGCTCTTTTTAATACAGGGCTATGTTATGTTGCCTACATATGGGGTAGTCTCTTTTCTAACTGTAAGGAACATATTCTACGACTAGAAGGGAAACAGAAAACTCCACTGTAACAGCTTGCCTGGCCTGCATACCAGTGGAATACTTTCTTTCTTTCACACACAGTAGCAGCAGCATAGAGACAGGACAAGGAATGGAGCAGGGGCAGAGTGACTATACTCAAAATACTTCTTAGCAAAGCTGGTCAGGATAGTTTTCTTATGTCACTGTTGGCCACTGTTCTTATAGCACAATTCTAGTGCACAGTAAAAGTTTGTTTTTGTTGAATGCTTCAGGTTTAGTACAAGGAACATCTTTCTTACCATTAGTACAGTCTTAGAGGAATCCCCAGGATACCGGAGGCTGAAAATGAGCAAAGATCCCAAAAAACAGAAGAAGGTGATGGTAGCAATATTCCTTACATCCAGCAGAGTCTCTACCAATGGTATGGTGCCCATTGTCCAATCACAACACAGCTCTGAAGGATTTAGAAGCAACCAAGCATTTACAGGAAGGAGGTAGTTGAAAGTGAGCTGCCTGGCAGGAAAGGGGCTTACAGCAGCTGGGTTATCAAACCTAATTAAAACAAAAAACATAGGCAATCACTCCAAACCTTCTAAAAGGCAATTCCATGATACTGCAATGGCAGATTTTGATTTAAAGTCACAAGAATTTAAGATGAGAAAGTAAAAGAAAATGGAAAAAAAAATCTCTGCACAGTTTGAAAACTCTGTTCCTGGTGAATTGCTGAACGTCCTTGGCATACTAAATACAGTGCATGAAGGACTTCAGAAGACAACTTTAAAGTGAAGGGCACAAGAACAGGTTTAGGCATCTTCTCCCTTCCTACTATCCTGCTTATATTTATGCCTACCACTAAGAACAAAGACAAAATCATATTTTAAAGGTGAATAATTTGATGCAGACTTTTTAGTCAGTCACTGAGAACGTATTTGCATATCTGGCTTTTCTTATAGCTAGTTTTTTGCCACCATGGTATGGCACCGAAATTCATTTTACTTATTGCAGTAAAATATTTATTTTCAGATACATTATTCACACTAATATAGCAGAACATTGCAATAAATCCAAGTCACAGATACCATATAGGTATCTATTGCCTATCACCAAGCCTAACATTTTAGAAGAATTTCATGCAATTCAGTACTGGATTTTACCTTGTAAACACTGGCAGTTGTGACTGTATAACCTGGACTCTGATCACAACAAGCAGTAGTGTACTAAACATCAGAACAATTAGTTTCAACAGCATTTGGAGCATACAATAAGGAATACTGCCTTTGCCCCGGAGAATCTGTAATACCGTATCCCACAGCATAGGCAAGGTGTACTAAAGAGAGAAAACAAGGTTTAGTTTTTGAAAAAAGCACATCTTTACTGCACCAACTGCTAAAATCCACACATTGATTTATTTCTTTTTCAATTCACAGGCTACTTTTCAATTCTGTGTTCCCAAAACACCACAGAATAAAATACAACATTTAAAATGAATACAACTCAGATGAAACCAACATGAGACTGCATAAAGTATAGTCAATGAACTTGAATGAATAGCATCAGTATCCTTTATATGAATCCTGGCTGCTTCGCAGATATTATAGCTGTTCCAGATACTCAGATCAGTTTTGATAGCGATTATGCAACTCCAGAGTCATGTGATATTCCGTATCGCTGGTTTGCAAGAGTTCTGTTGCCAGCACTGGGCATGTCAAGGCAGTACAACAGCAATTATGGACAGCAACTAACCACTGTCAAATTTAAAAATATTTTTGTCAGTTTAGTATAATCCCACAAAGTTATATTTTAAAAATTGATGGGTTGAACTCTATGAGGAAAAAAATAGAAAAGCTGGAACATATTTTCTAAGCAAAAACCAGCATAACAAAATTTGTTACTGTTGTCTTTTAAATGACAACCAAATCATACGTTTCTACATGAAGATAAAAGCAAATACATGTAATCATCAGTGTAGACACAACACAAAAATGAATACCCCAAGCCACTGCTGAATGACACTTTAAACATTTCTCATTGAGATTCATGGACCAATGGACAAAAGTGCTTAACTTTCTGTGTATTACACCACCTATATGCCATACATTTTGAACAGCACAAAGAACCTTTTTATTTTTCAGTTGGCTGCTGATTTGTAACCTAAGGCTGAACCTATGACTAGTCAAAAAGATTTGGTGAATGGACCAGTCAAATATTTTTAAACCATTAGCTTCATCACAACAAAGATACCTTAATCCAAATTTAATACTTATTATAAATATCAGTTCATTTCCTTGTTTCCAAATAACCTCTTTAAAAAGTTAATGCGCTATTGCCAGTTTTAACAATGTTAGGTTGGGCTTGTATAGAATGGAAGCTTTTACCATGGAATGCCAGAAGTCCTCCTACAATTCCCAATAAAATAAAATTAAAATTGACCACATAAGCATCTATTAAAGCATTACACTTTTCCAGAGAAGCGATTAACCACTGACTGCAAGAAGCCATTCGAGGGAGGGTGTATTTTCCAATGCAACTTTAAGAACTTTAAAGGGAAATTATTTTTTTGTCTCCTTGCCACTATTACAGCTTCTAAACTTTGATTAAAACCAAGTCTCAGAAAGTACACACAAAGTTTTAATTGAAAACGTTTATATTGCTAGCCTTCTTGTCTGCTTTTCAGTGCACACACTGACAAATGATTATTGAGGACTTAGAATCTCATGTCTCAGGAAGGGGTTTCTAGTACTCTGTACTCTGTCTCCCTCATCTGGTCCTCTCTTAAACACACCAAAGTGAAGCCAGAATTAGGATTTGGGTGGAATTATGCTAACAAGAATAGAGTGAATTATTGGAACGGGAGTTATTGGTCAAGGTTCTGGTTAGGCCGTTTGTGGACCACCACATTTTGGCAAATATATGGAAGGCAATTTGAAGGGCTCCCAACTAAAACTGAATTGCTTCTATGCACCAATGTAATTGTGTGGAACAAAGGCAAAGTGGATATGAATTGGGAATATTCTGTGACACCAGGATGTCTGTAAGTGAAGGGCCTAATAGGAGCGGAATTTTATTATTGTGTTCATTGCTCTTTGCTCTGGAAAAGATCTCAGCATTGTGATTTTATGGGCCACCTCAAATGCCTCAGACCAGGGGTGGTCAAACTTGCTTAACATAAGAGCCACATAGAAAAAACTTCAGATGTTTGAGAGCCACAAGACATGAACACACACATTTTACTGAAAAAATATACAAATTTGCATATTAAAGAGACAAATGCCTTCTCTGAGCCAAACCAGTCTGCTGGTTTGGCGGGGCTTGAAGAGCACATGATGAGAAGGGAGGGTAGAAAAACAGAAAGAAAGGTGGAAAGAAAGTGGAAAGAAAGCAAATAGATGGGGGAGGGAGAGAGGGAGGGAGAGGTAAAAAATAAAACAACTTTGAATTTAAATGCATCCTCCAAGCCCCCCATGCCACCTGGCTTGAAGAAGGGATTTAAAGAAACAAATACCTCCTCCAAGCATCCTCCAAGCCGGCCCGGGGGTGGGGGATCTTTGAGAATGCATTTAAACTTAAAGTTGCTTTCTTTCTCTGCTTCCCCCACACCTGAAGGCTATCCAGGGAGGGAAACACTGGCTGGGAAAGGGCAAACCGATCAGGGAGGCATGCCTCCCCTTTGCTTCCCCAGCCGCCCTGCTGGGAGCCACATAATATTTGTGAAAAAGCCACAGTTTGGCCACCCCTGCCTCACACCTTTACTAGTCCTTGGACAACAGCGTAAGAACTAGTGCACAATAGCCATCACTAGCGAATGAGTGTGGTACACTGAACAATATAAGCCAAACAGGTTAGATGTTTTTAAAGAACATAAGAGAAGCCAAAGTTGGATCAGGCCAATGGCCCATCCAGTCCAACACTCTGTCACACAGTGGTCAAAAATACCAGGTGCCATCAGGAGGTCCAGCAGTGTGGCCCTAGAAGCCCTCCCACTGTTGTCACTTCCCAGCACCAAGAATACAGAACATCACTTGCCCCAGACCGAGAGTTCCTATCTATACCTTGTGGCTAAAAGCCACTGATGGACCTCTGCTCCATATGTTGAAGCCTCTTGAAGCCATCCATGCTTGTAGCCACCACCACCTCCTGTGGCAGTGAATTCCATGTTTTAATCACTCTTTGGGTGAAGAAGGACTTCCTTTTATCCATTCTAACCCGACCACTCAGCAATTTCATTGAGTACCCACGAGTTTTTGTATTGTGAGAAAGGAAGTACATCTTTCTCTACCTACTCTGTTCCATACATAATCTTGTAAACCACTATCATGTCACCCCTCAGTCGTCTTTTCTTCAAGCTAGAGAGCCCTAAGCACTTTAACCTTTCTTCACAGGGAAAGTGTTCCAACCCTTTGATCATTCTAGTTGCCCTTTTCTGCACTTTTCCCAATGCTATAATATCCTTTCTGTGGTGACCAGAATTGCACACAGTATTCCAAATGAGGTCGCACCATTGATTCATACAGGGGCATTATGATACTGGCTGATTTGTTTTCAATACCCTTCCTAATAATCCCCAGCACACCGTTGGCCTTTTTTTATTGCAGTTGTACACTGTCTTGACATTTTCAGTGAGTTATCTACTGCAACTACAAGATCTCTCTCTTGGTCAGTCTCTGCCAGTTCAGACTCCATCAACGTGTATTTATAGTTAGGATTTTTGGCGCCAATGTGCATCACTTTGCACTTGGCCACACTGAAACCCATTTGCCACATTGACACCCATTTGCTCATCCTCAACAGATCACTTTGGAGTGCCTCACAATCTTCCCTGGTTTTCACCACCCTGAACAATTTCATGTCAATTTAGCCACTTCAATGCTTATTCCCGACTCCAAATCATTAATGAACAAGTTAAAAAGCATTGGACCCAGTACTGATCTCTGTGGTACCACACTGCTTACCACCCTCCACTGTGAAAATTTCCCATTTATAGTCACTCTCTGTTTCTTATTAATTAGCCAGTTTTTGATCCACAAAAGGACTTATCCTCTTATCCCATAACTATTGAGCTTACTTAGGAGCCTCTGATGAGGAACTTTATCAAACGTTTTCTGGAAGTAATTTTGATTAGGCACAGAGAGATGGATGAAATCTATGAGGGACTGTACAAACAGATGAAGGACTGTAAAGGGTTAATGCTTCACAGAGCCAGAGAACCTTGAGTGACAGGCTGTTTCAAGGAATCTGATTGGTTAGCATCAGCTGAGCCGAGAAAGTCTAGAGAGAGCTGCATGCTGAGGAAAGATTCAGTCAGATGTCTGCCTTGACCGAGTAGAGTACTGACAATCTGGTTACAGTCCTAGCTGCGAAGAGTTGAATACTGACAGTTTCAGAACTCAGCCTTAGCTGAGAGCAGTTTAACACAGACAGAAGAACTGAAAGTTGGCAAGGAGGTTTGGGAAGTAGGTAAAGACTCCAATTTGGGCCAAGGAAAGGGGATAGATCTTCTAGGGAGAGAGAAAAAAATTCCCTACCCAGTCAAACAGGGAGTTAGCTCTGAAGAATACAGAGATCTCTGGTTTGGTGTGGTTAGAAACTGTCTTAGAGATCTTAACAGTCAGATTGCAACGAGCTAGCACTTTATGTTTTAAACTGCTTTAAATAGTTTTATCTTTGTATAATTGTTTATGCTATTCTTGTAAGCTGCCCTGAGCCTGCCTCGGCAGGGAGGGCAGGGTAAAAATCAAACAAACAAATAAATAAATAAAATTTAAAACTCAAGACGAGTACTCGTGTCCCAAAAGAAGGGGTTTGGGTACTGGAAAGAGAGTACCAGCCTTTTGGAACCCAAAAGAGTCAGAGAATACTCAGAGAAAGTGTACTGACGTGTTTGGTGAAAACACTAGAACAAAAGCTTCTCAATTTCAAGATATAAGTAACTCTGAATAGCTTAAAGAAACTCTAATTGACCTAAAACTTAAGAACTAATGTCTGTACATGTACTGGTTTTACCTCAGAAATTTCAACCCAATTTCACCTGACCTTTCTCCTCTATGTTAAATAAAATATTTTATTATTTTTGAATTTCAACACACCTCGAGTACCATTTAAGTTGTTTCAAGTTAAAGTGGGCTCCTGATCCTTCCCTCAGGTTCCTGGGCTGAGTCAACAGCCAAAATATCATACTGTGACAGGGTGGGACAGCCAGAGTTCTTCACCAAAGAAGAAAATACTTTACTAGGGTGGCTCAGTCATTGATGGGAAAGAAAAACAAAGGGAAAATCTTGCCTCTGAGGGAGGGAAGTGGATGGGGGTGTCATAACATCTCTTTCCGTTCTAGAGAGCCACTGAATATTTTGAGGGCGAAACCATTCATCTAGGTATACTGATAAAATGTTATACATGATCATGTGAACATAGCTTGCAATCAAGTAACAAGAAAATGTACCCAAGACAAACAGATTTAAGCTAATGCTGTCTCTTAAGTTCAGGATATAACCATGGGTTTAGAAATGTATTTCACAAGTTCCTTACCCCTTGAGCCATAAATACTTCATAGACACAACATATTCCCACTACTGTTATTCCTTGTTCCTTACATAACGTAGCAACAGCCACCAAAAACACAGTCAGCGCAATGGGAGTCCATACTGCAATGGTAAGACACAGAAACTGTTAATCTTCCTAAAATTAAAGAAAGTGGATTTATAATCTAAGTACTGAGAGGCTGACTGGAAATACAGGATAAACTGAGACCTACTGTCAATTTTCTCAATCTTTTACACACTGAACATTCTGAACAAACCCATTTTGCCAGCTGCATTCATCACAACTGATCATGCAGCATTCTGTGTTTTCAGAATAATGGAGCTGTGTCCAATTATGCTTCAGATTTAAAAAAATGAGAACTTCTAATGTACTGTATGCAGTTCTCTTATACAGGTTATGAATTTTTGGAAGCAGCCATAACTGCCAGCTTAAAGTACTGCAAACCTGTCTTCATGGGGCTTCCTTTAATCCACAAGCTCCAACCAATACCAAACCGAGAGGCTAGGTTACTAGCTGGCCATTTTTTTTTTTTTTTTACTAGCTGGCCAAATTAGAGAAATCATATTACGCCAGCTCTTATAAAGGTGCACTGGCTTCCAGAGCACTTCTGTACCTATAAAGCTTTACGTAGTCTACTTTTGCCATATCAGTCTGCCAGCCTGTGAAAGCAAACTAGGCAAGCATCAGAGACAGGGTTTTCTCTGGAAGAGTATGAACATTATGGAATTGAATTAGAAATCCCTGCTGGTGGCAACCCATGAATAGGATACACAGATCCAAGAAGACACATGCAGCACATTTAAGACTATCCTATTTCCTGTGGCATAAAGCTTCAAGTAAACAAATACATTTGTTAGTCTGGTGTGCAGCAAGAGCAATATTCCTGTATATAAGTCAGCTGTAGGATTTCATTATTAAGACTCCACAGCCACCTGAAGAAAAGTGCATTATGGATAAATAAGCAACAGGGCCATTTAGATATTAGGATTTATGGACTTACTTGCTCTTACAAGCTATGTTTATCTTAAAAAACTCAGAGTGAATATATATCCATATCTATATCTATCTATATTTATCTATATATAAATATATACACACAACTGCCAACAAGTACTTACCAATAGTGTTTTCCGGCCCTTTTGATCTGGTATATGACAAAAATGCAGCAAGGAAAAAGATAGACGAAAGAAGCTCTGCTCTGCCCACTACCCCAGTCACCTAAACAGAAGACAAGATTGTATTATTGAATAAATCAGATTAGGATTTTAAACCTGTGATGAGTCAGTCATGCAAGTAAGGAACAAACAGTACAGGACAGATCGATTACTTTAGGTCCACCTGTACCAATGTAGAACCAAAGCAAACTCAAAAGGTTTGAAAGCAATGAACTTTCACTGCTTTTTAAAAAGTTAATAAGACACAAGAAAAGACATAGAATACCCCCATGTGGTTGACATAGGGAAGTACATCTTTTCTAATTAGGATTGTGTGTGTGCATGAACTGATGTCAAGTTGTGGCCGATTTATGGCGACCCCAAATGGTTTTCATGGCAAGAGACAGAGGTAGTTTGCCATTGCCTTCTTCTGTGTAGTGACTCAGAATTCCTTGATGGTCTCTCATCCCAATACTAACTAGAGCTGACCCTGCTCAGCTTCCAAGATCTGACAAGATCTGGCTGGCCTGGCACATCCAGGCCAGGGATAGGATTACTTCATTATTTGTCTACATAAATTGGCCAGAACAAATGCTCTCAGAGCAGTAAGGGTTACGTTACACATTTCCCAGGTGCAGATGCCACACATATTAGCATTGTAACATGTGAACAAATACATGATTCAGAGCTTGACTGTGACAAACCTTCATGTCTATCACTGATCAGCCATGCTTTGACTCTTATTTTAATTTCACCATTAAACATCTCTACTAATTTACTTATCTTGCAGACTTCAATATGGCTGACTCATTAGAATATATTATTGCCACTGGTAGGCCATCTCTGCATTATATGTCAATGAAACTTACAATAGTTACAGATGTATCTATGCTATATCATAGAGTAACAGTTTGACAACCTGGATAGTAACTATAAGCAGATGTTTTATGTATCCCATAATCTGACAGTGTTTCTAGGAAAGGAAGGAAACCACAGAAGTAATTAAATCAGTTAAATGCATATTTTTTACTGATTTCCAGTCCCTTTCAAGACTAATTAAAGGAACACATGGTTAAATTTCACCCCACTCCTAACCCACAGGACGTTTAAGCCTTTTTGTTTTATGGCTATGTGTTTGACAACTTTAGCATGAACCAAGACAGCCTTTTCAGAATTACTTACAGCTTCAGTATGTATTGGATGTACTGCAAAGAGTAGGGATGCAACCACACTGCTTCTGCTGTCCAAGAAAAGCTTACAGACCTTAAGGAAGACTATACAAACAACTGCATGGAAGATGACATTCAGGAGGTGGTAAGAGACAGCATTTAATTCACTGAACAAGTAATTCAAACGGAAGGTGAGGACAGTGAATGGCCGATATGATTTATGACTCCTCTCCTAAAAAACACATACATAAACCCATAAGAATCAAAGGTATAAGTGGTTGGCATCAGTCAATCATTAACAATTTATAAACATAATAAAAAAACAATCAGAGCACAAACAACTTAATTTCATTCTTGATGACGAAAATTCCATGATCCTGCCTGGAGCTCAGAAGCAGGTTTCCTGAGTTCCAGAATTCACAAGTCTGCACTAGGGATGGGCACGCACTAACTCACGAGACAAAATCCATCACAGATTTGGGCCAGTTTGGAGCCCCCAAAATGATGTTTGGGGAAGGTGTCGTTCCCGAACATTTACCGAACTTTTGCCCAATCTGGCTGTTTACGGTAGGGTCTGCAGCTAAGCTGTTAGACTGAAAAGGCTACCAGCCACTTCACAGCTGATGAGCAGACCTACCCCCATTAGGCTGAAATGGCTGTGAGCCATTTCAATGGTCAGTTTCACTTCCCCCTGCTTGGAAGTGGGGGAAGTGAAACTGACTGGGAAATGGCAGCCAGCCACTTATATCTAACAATGGATTGGGGGGAAGTGAAATGGATGGGTTAAATAGCTGCCTGTGGGCAGAAGAAAGGGGGAACCAAACTCGCCACACCAGCTCAATTTGGGTGGGAGCCCTTTGGCCGCCCTGAACCAAACTGGTTTTTTAGGTTTGTGCCCCTTCCTAGTCTGCACTACACATCACAAAGGGCAAGTGTCTCTAGTGAACTTTACTCAGCAATTGCCGATTGTTTAAATGTTTTAAATGTTTTAACAGTGGTAAATGTTAAGTTTTAAATGTTTAAACTGTATATGAATCTTGGCACATTGTGCCAGGCAATGTGAGCTGCCCTGAGCCTGCTTGTGGGGAGGGCAGGTTATAGATATAATACATAAATAAATAAATAAACTCTGCCCAGATCAGGATATCCACAAAAGATCTCCTTCTGCAAGTTCTCTGTAAATTACAGGGAATTCTGAGTAGTTTTTTTTAAATGTTGCACTAAGTTTTGGAACAGGCAAAGCTCCGCTAGCTCTAAAGCCCAGCATAACACAAATCCTTCCCACAAACCCTCTATCATGTGCAGAAGACCTGCAAATGGTCCAGGGAGATTCTTTTAAATTCTGCAGAGCTGCTGATTAACCCATGCTGCTTTTACCTAATCAAAAGTTCAAAAAGCAGGACACCAGATTAGGGATGGGCATGAACCTAAAAAACCCAGTTTAAGGCATCCCCCAAACTGAACCCCAAAACAAGCCAAAAGACCCCCACTCAAACTAACTGGTGACTTCAGTTCCCCCTTTCTCCTGGTCATGGCTTGTGGAGAAAGGGAGAGGATCACCCGGGGAAGAAAGGGGGAAGATCACCGGGGAAGGCAGCCATTTAATCGTCTGATTCACTTTCCCCTGCTTGAAGCCGACGGGTTTAATGGCTCAGACATCTAAACCTAACAGCTGACAGGCTGACCCACCCCACTGTTAGGCTGAAATGGCTGCTAGCCATTTCAGCCTAACAGCAGGGTGGGTCTGCCCATTAGCTCTGAGGCTGAAATGGCTGGCAGCCATTTCAACCTAACATCTCAGCTGTGGACCCTGCACCACTCAGTTGTTAAGCTTAAATGTCTCCAAACAGCCAAACCGGACAAAATTCCAGTAAATGTTCAGGGAAGGTGCCTTCCCCGAACATTGGTTAAGGAGCTTCGAACTGGCCCAAGTTTGTGCTGAATTTTGGCTTGTGAGCCAGTTCACGTTCATCCCTATTAAAGATACTCCCCAAGTCCTAGGCATTCTATAGAGAATCTGGGAGGGGAGAAGGGCTGTTGGTGACTACAAATAGCAGCTTGGCTACTGAGCAAAGAAATAATTGTGAAACCCTGTTCAAGTCTCTTTCCATGAAGAGAGAGCTACAATCTAGCAGATCCCTAGCAGAACAGCAATATACCCTTGTCAAGGAAGGAAAAAAAGAGGGCAAATAGGATGTGCTCTGACTTAATTGATCCTACTATCCCAGCTGAACAACATTACATTTTCTTGGACACTTAGGATTTTCAATGATTAAGAGGAGCTGTGGCACAGTCGTAGAGCATCTGATTTGCATGCAAAAAGTCCCAGGTTCAATCCCTGGCATCTTCATTTAAAAGGACTAGGTAGTAGATGATGTGAAAGATTTCCACCTGAGATCCTGGAGAGCTGTTGCTAGTTCAAGTAGATAACACTGATCTTAACAGCTCAATGGTTTGGTCTATCGGCTCAATGTGTGTTCCATGTTCTGAACAGACATAACAGGCTGCCACCATGGGACTTTCACATTTGCATGTTGAGACTTTGTATCAACTATTTTGGCTTAGACTTTGTTTTTGCTTTAGAGAACCAGTTAGTGTTTCCACAAAACCTTACCTCAGACATAGGAGTCCCCCAGAAGTCATTCAAAAAGAGTTTTTTTAATGGAGTTGAAGGATGCAAGTCTTTGTTGTCCAAAATGGCTGAAACATCATCAAAAACAAAACCACAAAAGAGACTGTTCCAATAACAAGCTGCCACCACTCCAATTATCAGTGCAATTTCTTTGGGGCTAACATAAGCCATCTTCTCCACAGTGTTCACACGTTGTAACTGAAAAATAAAATTCCAACATGATTCTAAAATACCACATCAGCAGAATCCATATCTGCAGTCAATGTTAATTTAAAGTGATTATTTATTTGCTATTGCCATAGTAACAAAGTTCTCCCCAAACAAGTGAAGACACATAAGAGAAGCTCTGCTGGATCAGACAAAGGCATTGATTTTCCCACAATGGTCAACCAGATACCTGCAAGAAGGCCAAAAGCAGGGAGCCAGCATGATGCAGTAGTCAGAGTGTCTGGGAAAGCTAGGTTCGAATCCCCACTCCCCCATGGAAGCTTGCTGGGTGACGTTGAGCCGATTACACACACTCAACCTAACCTACCCCACAGGGTTGCTGTGGGGATAAAATGGAGGAGAGGCAAACAATGTAAGCCACTTTGGGTCCTCACTGGAGAGAAAGGTGAAGTATAAATGAAGTAAATAAAGAAGGGCAACAGACTCCACCTGCTGCTGCACTCAGCACCAGTGCTCAGAGGATACTTCTTCTCATCATGAAGGTTTCATTTCATGCATAAGAACTGGTAACAGACTGTTCATGGTAACTCCATGAACTGATTTAGTGCTCTTTTAAACTTCACAATAACCAGGTTAAAAATGGAAGGGTATTGCAATCCAACTCTGTTCTATTTTTTCACATAATTCTCCTACAATTCAAAAGTACTCTCACCTGACCTTTTATCAGTGTTGTCTTATGAGTGTGGTTCAGAGGTTACAAAAACAAATCCTGAGAAACAAATGGCACTGGATAGGTAGCAGTGGACTTGCATACAGGAGCTCTGGATTGAAACCACTAATTTAACATATGGTGAGTGGTCCTGAGTCTGGGACAGACTACTTCTGCACTGAGTTTCCCTCACCTGTAACAAGAAACACAGTGCCCTGCTTCATGGCGTTGCAGTGAGAATCAACAAAAGCTTTGTCTTCACAACTGCTCAGGCACAATAGATGTTATAGAAATTGGGAGTTCACGATGGATGTGAACCTAGTTAACTGCCAGGCCTGCACATTACCTCCCCACCAAGCCTTGTGAAGCATACTGACAATATTGAAGATGGAAGCCATCAACTAGTTTCAAACAGTCATGAATTCCAAATGCAAGTGATTTAATAGACAAACTATTTTCCTCAGCAACTGGAATTCTTAACCACAGTGTAATCTACACCTCGACAAATTTTCTGTGTCACTAGGAACCAGTCCAAAATTCAGGAGCTGGACTAATTTTTTAACCTTCAGGATTTTGTATTTTAATGAACACATATGTAATTATTACTCACAAAACCTAATCCTAAATTCTTCACAGTTTTTCATAATTTTAAGTTATGACAAGTGTTGTAGTATATAACTAAATATGGGGTAACCCTTGTTATCAACCACAACAAAAAGTAAACCTCTAACCTCGCCTACCTTCTCAGTTTCCCATAATTCTATTATTGATCTAAAAAGCTCCATTTAATTGAATATTGAAGTCAGCATAATAAGCAGCTGGTTAAAAAAAACAGTTCATCCACCACCACTCAACTATGTAAAATTAATATATAAACAAGCAATGACAAGTATTTCATGCACATGTGTATCATGCAACAAAATGCATTCTGATTTCTGTTATGACAAATCCACCCACCACAGCAGGTAGATTATGGTTCATGGCTGGGATTGTGGGTTGCATGTGGCCTGCATGTTAACCATGGTATACATATGAATAGATGTTAATACCCAAGACATGTCTAAATTTCTTTTAAAGCCGTAGTAGTACAAGTAATTTTTCCAGCTTTAATGCTCTAGTACTTTAATCTTTGTCTTCAGAGTCACATGAACATATTTTATGAACATTTTCACTTACCATTCAAGTGCAGGATTTGTTCTTTTATACACACACTTCAGGAATATTCATTTTAAAATGAAGTTCCAGCCTATATCAATGCCAATAACAGATCAACTCTGAATGCCTGTGGATCTTTACTAGAATTACAAAAGGAGAGAGAAAAGAGTCACCTTTAGAAAGCATACTACATCTTATGTTAAACAGGGGATGAGCTGTACCTTAACGACTAACAATTTATTCCAGCAGAAGCTTTCATGACTAAGTGTGTGCTTCATCAGATGCATGAAAATGTTAGATGTTATAAAGACAGCCCAATTTAAAAATAAGATCCAGTTAAAAAAGAGTAAACCAGCCACTCAGGGTGGGTTAGAAACACTCCTAAGAGTTGGCACAGTAGAATAAATGTCAGATTAAATCCAGGAAAGTACAGGAAGAAACAAGAAAAAGTGATGCAATTTTTAAGAAATACAGAGAAGTACAGAGATCACAGGGTAACTGAACTTTTGTGAAAGGTGAGTGATGTTAAGATACTAGTGAAAAGCCTGGATTGGGGGGGGGGGACAGTACTGAACTTTATTTTTTTTGTGTGTGAATATTGTGTGTGTGCATGGAAATCATGGTTGACTTCTAACAACCCCTAGTGGGGCTTGGATGTTTACAGAGAGGTGGCTTACTATTGCCTGCCTCTGCATCCTGGCCCTGGTATTCCTTGGAGGTCTCCCATCCAAATACATGCCAGAGTTGGCCCTGCTTAGCTTCCAAGATCTGATGAGATCGGGCTTGCCTGGGCTATCCAGGTCAGGATGACAGTATTGAACTTGATGAATCATAATTCAGCACTTCTCTTTCTGAGATCCTTTTGGAGAAGGCCCTGAAGAATAAGATGTTCACCCACAGTTTTTTAAATACTGTGATTTTTTGTGTCAGATTTGTGTCCATTTAACACAGCTGCAACCTCTGGGATTACCTGTTTTATAATTGCAAAGAGAGGCTAGGAAGTCTGTGGAGAAGTTCAGATTTCAAAAGCTAGTACCATGGGAGTGTGCACCACTGCACTGGACAGAAACAGGTAAAAGCATCTCTATGCACAAATTACCTTACTGTTTTGAAAACCTAGGAACATACATCTATGGCTACAGAATGAGCTCATCCTGGTTTGCTTTGCTTATATTTTCCAATATCAGCAATCTTTCCCATCTTTCCTGGCATACTTATTACCTCAGCCAAGGGAATAACCTTTTCTTCTTCAAAGAGAGGAGCAACATATACATGGTGAAACACAAACTCCTGATCTGTACCTATGAGCAAGGCCTTTACAGACACTGGGCCAATAACTCAATCTGCAAATAGTCCATAATGAATCAGAAAAGGGGTGTGTATCTGTTCCATATGCATTTTTAAGTGCAAACACAATGGACATTGGGTATATATAAAAGAAAGGTCATGAGATCTTTGGAGACTGAAGGATCCAGTCAAAATTTCTTGCCATTCATGACCTTCTTTTATTAGTATATCTGGGTTAACCAGGAAATCATAGCCTATTCCAAAAGAGCTGGAAGACAGATGTTATTTCCTAAAAACGTGTGAAAGATGACAAAGACTTTTTTAAAACCAGTGGTTCCCAACTTTTGTTAATTTATGTCCAACAAATCAGCCTTACCGAAGAAATCTGGGTTGCAGCACGATAAGAAACATTTCCTCCCCAAGAAGAACATTTATATTTCTACACGCTTTCTGCTTTACATTTATAATTTACAGTAAGTTTTAAGGACATTAAAAAAATTGCAGAAGCTCAATGGATAATCTGGGGCAGGCAGGGTTGCCATGAAACAGCACACCAAAGACACTTACTGGAGGGCAGGGGAAACGCTAAGTGTCTGAGGTTACTACTGGCATACCGAATGGATGATCCATGGTAGGTAGGCTCAGCAGGAGATGGCACATCACACTTGCAGATGGACATGGGGACTGAGGTAGAGCAAATTCTTAGTAATTGTTATGAAAACTTTGTGTCCCACATAGACTCCTTCAGCATACCATCAGTAGCACACATACCACTGGATGAAAACCACTGTTTAAACAATTCGAGGTCCTCCTATTCTTGCCAACCCAGGTGAAAAATTTGAAAGAATTTTAAAGACTGCAGCACACTGAAAAGTTATGAACTGTGGACTGATTTCTATGCAGTTTCCCTCGGACAATTAAATCAACACCAATGTGCTATGTGAGAACAGCAGTACCTGAATATGAATTTTAGTTTCCTGTTCTGTAAAGTATTAAGCTAGATCAATCAAAAGAAAACTCAGTGATGAAAATCTTGCTATTGATGTAAGCACACAGATCAGTTTTCTGAACATAATAAGCTATTTTTGAAGAATCTTATCACACACCACTTTTCCTTGTTAATGTGTGAATGCCAGTGCATGAATGGAGAGGCTCCCTGCATTTGAAATAAACACATAGGCTGCTTTCCTGATTTAACCAACCCATGAGACACAGTTGAACAACCATTCATAAGACAAACAGGATGAATTCCTTAAGAAATCAAAGTTCCAAAGTGCTTGTTGTGTATTTGACACATTGGGAGATGAAAAATATATTTTTAATTATCCAGCTTTTAAGATGCAGCCCAGTTTTCAAATAACTGATCTCAAAGGCAGCATACAGTATATTCAAATAATACAATATTTTATAAAACTCCAGGTAAATGTCAAAAAAATCAAAGACTATCTGCTGACCAAAGGAATGACTTCGGAATCTCACCAGGCAAAGCCTCAAAAATACCTAAAGTAGAAAAAGTGCTTTGGAATCAGCATAAACTGTTATCAATGCAAGCGACTTTGCAGAGTTGCTTTGAAGTCAACTGCTATATATATACACTACATTGCATTCCCTTATTTAAAAAGGCTTATTCACATACATACACTTATCCATTTAATCCTCTGGCTGACCATTACAAACAATACCGTGCTTATAAAAGAACTGTTATCTATTTACCAGGAATTAGGGTGTGAGCGTGTGCATGTGTGTAAATGCCATCAAGTCACTTCTGACTTATAGCGACCTGATGAATTAATGGCCTCCACAACATCCCATCATTAACAGCCTTGCTCAGGTCTTGCAAACTGAGGGCTGTGGCTTCCTTGATTGAGTCAAATGATCTCATGTTGGGCCTTCCTCTTTTCCTGCTGCCTTCGACTTTTCCTAGCATTATTGTCTTCTCCATTGACTCTTGCTTTCTCTTAATGTGACCTAAGTACAATAGCTTCAGTTTAGCTTTTAGGGAGATTTCAGGCTGGATTAGATCTAGAACCTACGTATTTGTCTTTTTAGCAGTCCACTGTACCCATAAAACTCTTTTCCCATACCACATTTCAAATGAATCAACTTTCTTCATTGTCCAGTACTGTGAGTTGCTGATAACAAATACTATTTTCATATCTGACACATACCCTCTCCCCATACACACAAAGGAGACCATTAGAAACCCTCCCTTGGTTCCAACCCAACTTCAAGACTGCCTTACAACCAACTGCTAAATGTGGCTCATAATAAAAGGCAAAACTGTTTGAGCTCTTTTTGTATGAACATATCAGACTACTGTGTGTGCTTTTTCATCCTGGATATGCAAACTAAATTCTAGCTATCTACAAGTATTAAGCCATGTTCATAAGCAAACAATGGAAATGAAATGCAATGCCTAAACTAATATTACCTATTTCACATTCATCTGTAAATGTATTAATCTGAACTAGGTAATATTTATCCTCAATGAATGAAATGCAAGCCTGTACTTGGAAGTATTCCTGAATGATTAAACACAAAGACACATGTAGAAAAGTAGTCATACACTATGTGTGTTAAGGGATGTAAAGTCTCTTCTGGCTTATGATGACCCTATGAATTAATTTTCTCCAAAACATCCTAATGTTAACAGCTTTGTTCAGGTCTTGCAAACTGAGGGCCGTGGCTTCCTTGATTGAGACAAGCCACCTCATGTTGGGTGTTCCTCTTTTCCTCCTGCCTTCAACTTTTCCTAGCATTACTGTCTTTTCCGGTGACTCTTGACTTCTCAGCAGGCTGTTACCGCCAGAAAAAATTAAGACTAAAGTAACTACATTCTTTCACTCTTTAAAAGTGGTTTCCTACACATGTTGAAAAATCATGCTAAGTTATCCAGACATAAATTGAACCACTGCCATCCAGTATCTAATTGCTTTGGTACATATAAGAGCCAGTTTTTGGTCTCCTATTGCACAATGAGTATAAATGTTAAAATGTGAAAGGGATTAAATCCTGACTCACTTAGTTTTGAAGCTCTACTTTGTAAATTTAGGCCAGCCATTCTCTCACTGTTGAAAAGCTGCATGTAGACATACTGGTCCAAAGCAAAATTCAAACCTAAAATCCATAAAAAATATTTTGGGTTGGTCTTAGCAAAAGGTATTGGCAGTAGAAAGCACTGTCAACTCACACCTGACTTACGGCGATCCTGCAGGATTTTCAAGGCGAGAGACTTCAGAGGTGGATTGCCATTGCCTGCCTCAGCATCATGATTCCCGTATTCTTTGGAGGTGTCCCATCCAAATACTAGCCAGGGTCGACCCTGTTTAGCTCCTGAGATCTGACGAGATCAGAGTAGCCTAGGCTATCTAAGTTAGGGCAACAAAAGATATGACCAAGAGTAAAAGAAAAAGACTACAGGCCGGTACCCAGCACTAGTAGGAAAGAGCCTAAGCGGTACCGCCCATCTTCTGCTTCAAGCCCCTCCCCGAGAGATGTTACTTTCTTTCCTACAATTCACGGATGTTACCACATAGGATTGTTGCGAGAACAAAATGGGAGAACTCAGCATGCTCCATGGACAATAAAGGCATGATACATGAACACGAAGATCGTAACCAGAAGCACTTTTAATAAGCCATAAAGGCTTGTGTGGTGACGGCCATATTATACGGCAGAAAGAACTGCTCACATGTTTAAATCCCCAAAGCAAGAGGCCCTGGTTTACCACACCACTGGTTTGTCTAAGCCTTCAGAAAAGGCACCAAGCCGGGCAGCACCAGGAGCCCATTCCCACCTTATTTTGGTGGGAGACCCACAGGCACAAGTCCCACAGCTTCTTGCAGGACCCTAGTCCTCCTCCTCCTCCTCACTACACGCGCATGCTCACCTGGATGTGTCAGGGACCGACACGCTCCCCGCCATGTTTCATTCCGTTGCCGCTTCAGCCCTACCTCAGTCCCTCAAATCTAATCCTAAAGCAACAGAACAGAAACTCCCTCCCACACTGCGCAAGTGCAAGCACACGAGACCGATAAGAATGCTGGGATAAAATTCCTATATTGACTCCGAATCCCAGCATTCCAAGCTGAAGCTAACAGCAGCCAATATTTCATGAACAGGGTAGAGCATCTTGGGAATTGTAGTCTTCTGTTTTAATTCTCCTAGGTGTAATTTCCCCACCATTAATAGTATCCTACATTTCCCCCATTTCTCGTTCTTTTTGGACTCTTGTCTGGCTCTCGCTTTCCTAGGCTTCTTCGCAAAGTTCACTGGGACTTGTTGTCTGGGCAGTCCCGCGGGAGATTTGACTCGTCGGTCGCTTTACTTAAGAGTATCCGGGTTCTTCTTCTGAGGTCGGCTGGGATTGTTTGACGCTGTCGCTTAGCAGCGGCGGTTTCCTCCTCTTCCTCCCTGTTTTGTAAACAGCTACGGAAAGCGGTGAGTAGTGATAACGATGGTTGGCGAAGTAGAGGCTCGGGATACAATGTTGATGATGGAGAAGCGGAAAACGGGAACGGATTCCTTTCTCTTGGTCTCGTCGTGAGAATCGTGGCTGCAGTTCTCAATCCTTGTGGCCTTGGAGTAGATCTTGGAGCCGCTATGGACGGAGAGGTTTGCGGTGCTCCCTTGTAGCATTCCCAGAGGCGGCGGGACAAGCTTCTGCTTTAAGCTTTGCTTGCTAACCCCCCCCCCCCCCCCCGCGCGTTGCTGATTGAGAGGCGGGGTGTGTTTACTGCAAATGCCAGCAAAACTTGTATTTAAAGACTAACGCATTTATTGTGCATTTGTTTTCGTGGATGTCCATTTTGTCACTAGAAATTGCTATAGCTATCCATTTTTAAACCGTTCCTTTTCAAGCAACTGTAGTGTACTTCGTTCTCTCTTTCCCCTCACTTTTGTCCTCTTAATAACTGATGTAAATTAGGTTGACAGAGCGACTGGCCCAAGTCAGACAGCCCAGGAAAGAGAGAGCACATGAGGCAGGTCCACAAGCACTTAGGCTGCATCCACGGATTGTTGGAGATTGTACTGTGGCAATAATTTGCCACTAGGTTTTCCTGCACAGACAGGGCACTCCAGGAGGTGAATGAATGCTACAGTACAATGCCACCACAATATTCAGTCATGTGTAGGTGCAGATCCCATGAGTTGTATGGCAGAGATGGCGATTGGAACTCTGCTCTCTTAACCTTAGTCCAACCACTATTTCATGCTGGGTCACATATCACACTGATGCTTATCAGTATGCCGTTGATAAATGGTACAGCAAATGATCCCATACCTTTCAGCAACCTTTTAGTATTTGGAAGGAAATAGTGTGGTTTCTAAAACTAAATGGTAATTCTGTGAATTCATCAAGCGGTAATAAAATCAGGTTTCTGTGAATTAATGCAACCCATTAAGAGGTAATAAAAGCAGGTTTCTTCTTCAAGTAGTGTTTTTTGTCAAATGCCCTTTTACAAATCAGTAGTGGAAATGATGTCCGCAAGCTGAATACACACAACGTGAGATTGTGGAAGTAGAATTCATTAACAACTTCAACATATGCACACCCCCACTGAATATGGACAAAGGGTCTTATTGCAGATATTAATTTTCTGCATTTCCTACCTTTGTATCTCCTTGCTCTAATCAAGCTGATCACTTTTTCTGTTGTAACTCTGCATCCTGACTCCCAACTGGCCCTTCCTGGTAACATCCCTCCCACTTTCTGACCTGGTTATAAGGACTGATGTATGTTCATTCTTACTTAAACCTAACAAAGTAAACTTTTACCCTGGAAAAATTTCTTGGTCTCTGAGGTAACATTGGACTGGGAAGTGGAGCGCACCCGTGGCTTACCGCCAACAATGTGTGTTAAAAAACTAGTACCTCCAAGGTACTAGTAAACGTTTGCCACGGGCTGCCTCCAGATGCCCGTGGTGTGATTGCGCCGGCACGCGGCATTCCCCTCCGGTCCCTCGTTTACCCGCCGGCGCTGAGGGAAGCACCGGTGGTGTGCCTCTGGCACAACTGATTGCGTAATAATGGATCAAACTGCGCTGGGGCAATTAGCCACGCCTCCCCCCTGCGATATCTGGCCCGTGTGACCGGGGCCTCAGTTGCTCAACTTAATTTTGCTATGAATACTGTTTGCCTGAGCCCCTTTGTGTCTTGAAAGCTTTCAGTGGGTAAAGGGCTTAGTTTAGCTTGTAGCTCTGCTGTTCTGTGGCGTCTAGCTAAAACACTTGAACATACAAGGAGTGTTGACTTCTGGTCTTAATGATTTGGTTTGCATTTGCATTATGTTATTTTTGAAAAAGATATCTAGGAAGCTGTCATTTCCTCTGTAGATTGATCAAGAAGATTCTCATGTGTGTATATGAATTTCTTTTAACACCAACAATATTATTCTTGTAGTAGAAACAGACCAAAACTGAAGATGGCACCATTTCTAGAATGGAAGAAGCTTATGAAAGTTGATCCAGATGCTTTGCCTCGTCAAGAGGAGTTAGCCGATAATTTGCTGGAGACAGTAGGCAAGGTACATTGCTTGATATAATAAGGATATTCTAAAAAGAACTTAAAGCAACATTAAAATGGTACCTGTTCTTAATAGTAATGGAATGTTTTGCTAATGTATGTTTAGGTTGATGGGAATGATCTGAAGGATGAGAATCCTGAACGTTTAATTCAACTTTTTAAAATATCTCAGTCTTTAATGAAGGTATGTATTTGATATTGCTTCGTTCTACTACAGCAGTATGCCTTTTAAGAGGAATTCTGCATTTTAAATATAAGTTCTGATATTAATGCCTGTATCATAATTTCATGTATGGCCATCAGAAGACTTATATAAATAATATGTGTATTGGTCAGTAGTCATAGAAGCCACACATGTTTGAGTATACAAGCAGGAACGTTTGCACACTATAGAATAGCTGCTTTACTATGGCAAAGGATAGAATAGGCAATCTTCACTGCTCTGCATGCTTACTTGTGTAGTGCACCACTGTGGATAAAGATGGCATGGGCTGGTGAAGAAGAGGGCCTTGGTGCTGTGTCTTGGCAAAAGTCTTGCCAAAGGAAGGGAAGATATAGCAGACTTTGAAAGAGTGCGCCCCTGCAAGAAAAAGCTGCACTGACAGTGGTCTTTCCCATGCCCTGAGGAGGCTATGCTGTAGTGCTCCCCTCTTCCTAATCTAGTACAACTGCTTGGCTATAGTGTTTTTCTTCTAAGCATGTTAGCAGCTGTCCTTGTATCTGTGGTTGAGAACCAGCCAGAGCTGCAAAGGTTAGCAGTGCATATTTATCTCATTAGTGACTCGCACCAAGCAGTGCCAAGTGGCTGGTGTGACAAGTAAAACAGCAGCTGTGTCAGCAGTAATTCCATTTGCTCCTGCTAGTAATCTGGCAGAAAACTTGGGGTTGTTTTCTTATGATTTCAGATCTCAACAGTTAATTTTTTATGTATTGTGAAAAAGAGATACTTAGCTTTATTTTATGGTGTATTCCAGGATTTGTAAGGCAACAATGAATTACGTGTTACTCCTCTTTAATTTGCTTGTTGTGACTTGGATTTCTTTAATATTGCTAGGGGACCAGTTTGTGACTGTGATCTGATCAATTGTGTAATATTAGGAGTCTGAGCTTTATGTATAGCAGCATCCTTTTTATTTTGGGCAACACATTCTTCTGAAATCATCTTCAGTGTTTTTCTTATATATCCTCTCTTTTTTTGGTATATTGGTTATAGATGAAATCTCAAGAAGTAGCACTGGCTTTGGAAGAAGTTGAAAAAGCTGGGGAAGAGCAAGCCAAATCTGGTATAAACACTTCCATGTATAAGTAACACACACATAACATCCAATTGTATATTTCCAGTCTTGAATAGGGAAACAAAATTACATGTTTGAACAGTAGGTTTATTTGTTTAAAATATTTATAGCCTGTTCTTCCAACAAACATGGGGAGGTCCATTTAGAAGATAGCAAATGGGCAAGATTGAGCCAAAGATTAAGCATTTTTCTCTCTCTTTGCCTCATACTGCTTCTTAATTTAGTAGATTACTAAATTATAAATTATATAGATTACTAAAATATAAAAAGATAGACCCCATTTGAATGGCTGCAAAAATCTCTCACAAACACATAACATTTCACAGCTAAAAGAGTGATAGGTCTGCTATTATCTTCTACTAAAAGATATGAATGTCACCATATGATTTATATTTTGGAGCAATGGAAGAATTAAAAGTTTTCTGGGCTCAGAAAAGTAATTGCATTCAAAGGTCACTTGATACAGTGTGTCTACACTACCTGCACCACAGATGCATTCTCTATTAGAGTATGGTATATTACGATATCTCCCTTGCAAAATTTTAACATTTGACTGTGTGGATCATGAAAAGCTATGGTTGGTTTTAAAGGAAATGGGTATGCCATAACATCTGAACATTCTGATGCACAACTTGTACTCTGGCCAAGAGGCTCCTGTTTGGACAGAATATGGAGAAACAGAATGCTTTCCAGTTGGCAAAAGCATCAGCCAAGAATGTATTTTATCTCCCTGTCTTCCCAATTAGTATGCAGAACATATCATGAAGAAAACTGGGTTAGATTTAGATTAAGGTAGAGTGAAAATTGGTGGAAGGAGCTTTTAACAGTTTATGATATCTAGATGATACCACATTACTGGCAGAAAATAGTGGAGACTTGAAATAACTACTGATGAAGGTGAAAGCAGAAAGTGCCAAAGAAGGATTACAGTTGAATAGCAAGAAGAATAAAGTAATGATTAATAAGGAATTACATGGCTTCAAGGTTGACAATTGTCAACTTCACCCACTTTCTCAGGCTTGATTGGCATGGGGATGTAGGGGAGGGGGAAGAATGTCTACTTTTGCTTTTGGCCACTCTGCTGTTGCTTCGGTTATCTTATTTGGCCCAGACAAGTAACCTTGAGTCCCAGTCAGGCTTGGCATCATGTTTTCCCTGGGAACTATGGGATGTTATTAGGGTTGCCAAGTCAAAAAAACTCACCAGCGGGGGAGCCTTGCTGGGCTCCGGGAGCCGTCCTTGGATGTGCGCGTGCTGCCAGCGCGTCACCAGAAGTGACACGTGACGTCGACCACGTTGGGGGCGTGGCCCGGATCATCGGAGTTTTCCCTCTGATGATCCGGGCCACGCCCCCAACGTGGTCGACGTGGTTGCGTCACCTCCGGTGTTGCAGCCACCCTGTGCTTCAGGGGGCGGAGTTCCCCCGGGGCCCGATTCCGCGGCGGCGGAAATCGGGCCTCCAAAGCTGGGGTTTACCCGCCCCCACTTGGTAGCCCTAGCTGTTATTTCGGTGGGCCTCTAGCTTAGGTGTGATTGGCCCCGGGCCATTAGGGTCTTGCTTGATTTAGTTGGTTGCTTCACGCGCTTTTCCCCAGTTCTAACACAGAAACGTTAAAAGTCTGGATCCTATCAATGTCTCAAAGCTTTCTATTCTTTTGAATAACTGTTGTTGGGAACTGATTTCTCCAGGAGTCTGACACAATGAAGAAACAGAAATTGTTAAAGATTTTCTACTCCTTGGCTTAACCATCAACTATAGTATTCCTTATTACTATCGATGAGTGCGAAGTTTGGGCAGTGAAGGAAGCTAACAGGAAGAAAGTTGATTCATTTGAAATGTGGTGTCAGAGGAGAGTTTTATGGATACCATGGACCACCAAAAAGACAAATAAGGGGGTTTTAGATCAAATCAAGTTTGAACTCACCCTAGAATCTAAAATGACTAAACCGAGGCTATTGTACTTTGCTCACATTATGAGAAGATGAGAGTCTCTGGAGAAGACAATAAAGCTAGGGAAGTTGAAGGCAGCAGGAAAAGAGAAGACCCAACATGAGTTGGATTGACTCAAAAGAAGCCATGGTCTTCAGTTTGCAAGACCTGATCAAGACTGTTAACAAAAGTAACTTGATGGCACTTAGCACACATGCACACACAATTTAGAGGTAGCACCAAGTCTGTTCTGCAAGCTTTGAAACCTATAGTTGGTTAACTTTATATATGTTATTTTATTCCAACAGAAAATCAGTTAAAAACAAAGGTGATGAAACTGGAAAAGGAATTAGAGGTATGTTAAAATGTTAACTCAGGTTTTGTTGTTGTTGTCATTGTTGCTGTTGTTATCCTGTCTTTCTGACAGCATTTGTGATACTTACAGATGTATAGCTACTACATGAAATAATTATTTTTTCAGGCTTCTGCACTCGTTTATTTATTTAAAACATGTCTGTGCCACATTTCTACCCAAATAGAAAGGTGGACCTTATTTTTTGTTTTTAGATAAACTGCTCGATTACAACCTGAGATCTGTAAGAATATGATCAAGCAGTGATTCCTCATTCTTAATCTTTAATCCTAACAATAAATGGTCCACTGAAATCACTGGTACTCAATTAGGGTTCCCAAGTACTTACCGCGATCCGGCGGGGGACACATGCTCCCCGGCTGGAACATTCCTCCCTGTAACGCACCATGCCATTGCCAGGAAGTGACGCTGGGCGACGCTCTGACAATGGGGCTGAAAATGCGATGGTACCATCGAGTTTCCAGCCCCATTGCCAGAGCGTTGCCCGGCATCACTTCCTGGTGACAGCATGGTGCAGCGCGTCTGTTGTCCACGCGGGAATGGTCCTGGGAAAATGTATGTGTCCCCCGCCGAATCACGGTAAGTACTTGGTAAGCCTGTACTCAATATGCTTTGTGCCTGTGATGCCTTACAACTTACATCGTTTGAAGTTGCAGTTAGTGGTGATGTTTAGTTAGAGTTTTATCACATTCTCAAGTGGATCAAATGTGTTGTCTATAGAATGAAGATACCATAAAAACACTTTCCTATTGCAAACACAAAAAATTCACTTAAATTAGTTGTTGACTGAGAAGTCGGTCTCAGATTTTCTTGCAGGTTTGAATGATGCTAGATATAAAGTAGGAGATAGTATAGTGAATAAGATAAAGTATGCATTATTGCAATGTATTTTGAAAGAAGAAGAAGAAGAGAAGAAGAGATTGGATTTATATCCCGCCCTTCACTACCCAAAGGTGTCTCAGAGTGGCTTACAAACTCTTTTCCCTTCCCCTCCCCACAACAGGCACCCTGTGAGGTAGGTGGGACTGAGAGAACTCTGACAGAGACTGCTCTTTTACAAGAACAGCTGTGCCAGAATTATGGCTTGCCCAAGGTCATCCAGCCAGATGCAAGTGGAGGAGTGGGGGAATCAAACCCGGTTCTCCCAGATTAGAGTCCGCGCACTTAACCACTACACCAAACTGAAAGCACTGTGTATTTACAGTAGAATCTCTGGATTAAATTAGTGGATATTTTTAAAACTTACACATTGAGATATTTAAGTTATATACATTTTGGTTGCAATTCAGTGATTGGCATGGAGGGACTCAAGTGAACAGCTGGACTTTTTGATCTTTTCTCCAAACTTTGTGCTTAAAACACTGCAAGGCATTTTTTAGTCCCCATGAATACTCTGACTTGCTGAGTAAAATAATTCAATGTGCATCCTGCATACTTCTCTTGGAAACCAATTAATGAAATTTTATTTCAACATCATTTTAAGATAGCTCAACGATCTGCTGGTGGCCGCGATACTCGTTTTTTGCGTGATGAGATTCGTCAGCTGGAAAAACAGCTGGAGCAAAAAGATAGAGAATTGGTAGATATGGAAAAGGAGCTAGAAAAAGAGAAAAAAAACAATGAACAGGTAAGTGGCATTTTAACACAGCAGCAGTAAAATTGTGAAAACGGGTGGGGAACTGAATTAGAACAATAATTTTGAGGATACAAACAACATGACAAAAGAGTTTGTCATAGGACTGAAACAGAAATATAGTTTATCAGCTTTCTAGTGTTGACAAACTGTAAAATAGGAATGTGTATTGTGCAATTCAATTTGTACTGTAATGTTTTATATGACACAAACTGAAAATAAAACGGTTGCAGAACTGTAATTGCCAGAGAAGCAGTGGGACCTTTGGATGGCAAAAGAATGAAAGGATTGCTAAAGGAAGATGGGAAGTGGCAGAGAAGCACAATTACTTTTTTGCTTCTGTGTTCACTGTGGAGCCTGTGGGGCATGTACCCATGCCACAGCCCCTATTTTCAGGAAGGGAGTTTGTAGAACTGAGCCAAATTGAGGTGACCAGACCTAAAGTTTTAGACCTACTGGGGAAATTAAAAACTGATCGGTCTCCAGATCCTGATGGCATATGCCCAAGATGTGAGATAGGTTACATATATGAGTTTGTAGATCAACTATCACTAAATTCAGTGGCTGTAAGAGAAGACTGAGAATAGAAATGTTACACCAATTTTTAAAAAGGGATCTAGGGGGGGACTAGGAAATTACAGGCCAATTAGGCATCAGCCTATTGTCTGCCCAGGCAAATTAATAGAAATTATAATCAAAGACAGAATTGTTAGTCGGCACATAGAGGGACGAAGCCTGCTGAGAGAAAATCAGCATGGCTTCTGCAAAAGGAAGTCCTACGTCATCAACCTTTTGGAGTTCTTTGAGAAAGTGAACAAGACAACAGTCGCCTGCTAGACATTATATACCTGGACTTTCAAAAGGCTTTTGACGAGATACCTCACCAAAGACTCCTGAGCAAATTTAGCAGTCATAGGATAAGAGGACAGATTCTCTTATGGATTAAAAAGTGATTAAATGGCAGGAAGCAAAGAATAGGAATCAATGGACAGTTCTCACAATGAAGGGAAATAAGCACTGGGGTCCCACAGGGATTGGTATTTGGGCTGGTACTATTTAATCATCAGTGATCTGGATTTAGGGGTGAGTAGTATAGTGGCCAGGTTTACAGATGACACAAAATTACTGAAGATGGTGAAAACCAAGGCTGACTGTGAAGAGCTCCAAGAGGACCTCCACAAACTGGGTGAATGGGTTCTGAACTTGCTGAGACTGAGAGGGAGAAAGATCTTGGGGTCGTAGTGGATAGCTCAATGAAAGTGTCCACCCAGTGAGTTGCAGCAGTGAAAAAGGCAAACTCTGTGTTAGGGGTGTTAGGAAAGGTATTGAGAATAAGTCAATATTTTAATGCTCCTGTATAGATTTATGGTGCAGCCTCATTTGGAATACTGTGTACAGTTCTGGTCACTGTATTTCCAAAAGGACATTGCAGAGCTGGCAAAAGTGCAGAAGAGGGCAACCAAATGATTAGGGGGCTGGAGCACCTTCCCTATGAGGAAAGGCTGAAGAGTCTGGGACTTTTCAGTTTAGAAAAGAGATGACTGAGGGGGACATGACAGCGGTTTATAAAATTATGGATGGAATGGAGACAGCTGACAAAGGTAATTTTTTCTCTCTCTCCCCAAATACTAGAAGGTGTCTAATAAAGCTGATGGGCAGTAGGTTTAGGACAGACTTTACGCAGAGAGTGATTAAAATGTGGATGTAGTGATGGCCACAGGAATAAACAGCTTTAAATTAGTTTCTTGGAGGATAGGTCTATCAATGGCTACTAGCCATGGTGACTGAGGGGAATCTCCATATGCAGAGGCACTATACCTCTGAATCCCAGAGCTAGGAGGCAACATCAGGGAAAGGCCTTAGCCTGTTGCTGGCTGTCCAGAGGAACTAATTGGCCACTGTGTGAAACAGGATACTGGACCAGATGGACTATTGGTCTGATCCAACAGGGCTCTTCTTACGTTGTACAATCTCCCTTATAAATAAAAGCCGAATGGTGGTGGCACGGGACTTTTCAGTTTAGAAAAGAGATGACTGAGGGGGACATGACAGCGGTTTATAAAATTATGGATGGAATGGAGACAGCTGACAAAGGTAATTTTTTCTCTCTCTCCCCAAATACTAGAAGGTGTCTAATAAAGCTGATGGGCAGTAGGTTTAGGACAGACTTTACGCAGAGAGTGATTAAAATGTGGATGTAGTGATGGCCACAGGAATAAACAGCTTTAAATTAGTTTCTTGGAGGATAGGTCTATCAATGGCTACTAGCCATGGTGACTGAGGGGAATCTCCATATGCAGAGGCACTATACCTCTGAATCCCAGAGCTAGGAGGCAACATCAGGGAAAGGCCTTAGCCTGTTGCTGGCTGTCCAGAGGAACTAATTGGCCACTGTGTGAAACAGGATACTGGACCAGATGGACTATTGGTCTGATCCAACAGGGCTCTTCTTACGTTGTACAATCTCCCTTATAAATAAAAGCCGAATGGTGGTGGCACTTCTCTAGAACATTCCACACGTTCCAAAATCAGTTCGCTCTCTGATCTGTCATTCAGAGGGTCTCCCTATCCACTGGCTGCTTTGCCTGAGTCCTGAGTATCCTTATATGCTGCTGAGGTGGCCCCCGTGTGACAGCCAATGTGACGTAGCAGTCAGGGCTTCAGAGCACGGGAGAGGCTGCAGGTGTGTGGGGGGTGGAAAGCTGAAGAGTGAGGGGGAAATAAAGGTAGGTTGCTGATTGGCTGGGAAGGAGATAGGGTTGCCAACTTCAGGTGGGAAATTCCTGGAGATGTGAGGGATGGAGCCTGGAGAGGGTGAGGTTTCAGGAGGCGTGGGACCTCGGACAGGTACAAAGCCATAGACTCCACCAAACCAACCATTCCCTTCTGGGGAACCATTGTTGCCAATCTCCAGGTGAGGGCTGGAGATCACTCAAAATTACAACTGTTCTGTAGGTGGCAGAGATCAGTTCCTCTGGAGAATATGGTGTCATTATACCCTGCTGAGGTCGCCACAGCAAATTGACACTGAGTGTCCAAGGCCGGGGCACCCACCCAGAGCCTCTCTGCATATTGCACTGTTTGTGTATCAGTATGCTGTATTTTTTTATTAGGGTTTCTTCTACCAATATGGAATCCTCACTTCATGGTGCATTTTGTTCTGTAATGGGGATTACTTATTATTGGATCATTTAGCACTACTCATTATTGCTCCTCAGTTACTTTGCAGGGCAGGCAGTGGTTTAGTTGAATCTGTCTTCCACTTTAAGGAAGCAGAGATTTGGAATAAAACCAGACATCATAAAATCTGGGTTTTTTTTAGTTAGAATGATTGTTTTCAATTATATTATTTATTTTTGTGTATTTATGGAATACCAAGAAAATATGGATGCTTTCTTTATGGTGAATTTGTTACTTTCTCCCAACTGATGACAAAATAGAATATAATTGAGCATATATTTGTCATTCTAGCTTGCTCTTCGATGTGAGGATGCAGCAAATGAAAATAGCAAGTTGAGAAGAGAGGTTAGTAAAGAATAACAGAATCAGTGCATGTGTAATACTTGGATAGATTATGCTTGCTTCACAAAGGATTGGTTCAGATGTAATGCCAAATCGCTGTTTGGCATACAATACATAATCCATGGAATTACGTGTTCTGTTTTTCCTTTCAGGCTACAGTTTAATTCCTGGTTCCTATTAAAACTTGGTTTGGAGGGCAATTTCAAGCCATAGTTTGCTCAACATTGTTAAACTAAAGCAAAGTAATTAAATTGCAGTGTGAGACTAGCGAAACGAATGCATGAGGTTTGGTCCAAGTCATTTGTGTATGAGAGAGAGCGGTCTCAAGAATTTAGAGCATTTGAATGTTTTTTTGGCAAGCTGTTGTTCTTCGTTGCATATATATATTTCTGTGATAATTATTTCTTTCTCATTGTTTTGTGTTTCTCTAGGTGTGTGCTTTCCCAAGCTTTCTTATTGTGTCTTGTTATTTTTTTGCTGTACTTCTACTTTTTCCTTAATACTTTCTGTGCTTCGCATCCAGTCTTGTTTTCCTGTAAGTGAGGACTTAATTTCCCCAAATTAATTTGACCCAGTGCTTGGGCTGAGTTCTAGTACAAGGGGAAGTATGGTCCTCATAGCACAGGAGATCCTTAGCCCTAAGGTCTGACCTTCTGTAGCAGCATCAACACTCCTAACAGAATGTTAATAGACTTGCTGTTTCTTGCACAGCGTTACTGCTTCTTTCAATTAAAAATTTTACTTTCCTTTCAAACTTGCCTACTGAGTTAAAACTTCTCCCCCCCCCCAATTTTCTTTCTTACTCTGCTCTATTTCATTTGAAGAAAAAACGAATGAAGAAAAAGGTGAGATTTCAAGCTAGTTAGCAGATGGTAGGAGTACTAATAATATTTGTGTGCCGTCAGCTTGTCCTGTGAATGTAGGTGAAATATTCATTCCATGAATTTTTTTTGTTACAGTTGTTCTGGACTTCTTGCATGTAGAATTTTCACTCTCTGATTTCTCCCCCCTCTCTCTCTTTGGTGCAGAATGAGCAACTTCGTCAAGATGTAATTGATTATCAGAGACAAATAGATTCACAAAAAGAAACGCTTATTTCACGAAGGGGAGAAGATTCTGATTACAGGTCACAGTTATCCAAAAAAAACTTAGAGCTTGTACAATATCTGGATGAAATTCAGGTAAACTTTTAGTCATCTTATTACATGCAGGATATATCTCCAAGCCAATGCAGCCTCCTTTATGGGCTAAGCTGAATGGATGCAGTTGGTAGCAGTGTTGGTAGTGGTGGCGGCTCCTAGTTGAAAGCCTGGTGGAAGAGCTCCATCTTACAGGCCCTGCAGAACTGTAAAAGGTCCTGCAGGGCTTTGATCTCTTCCAGGAGCTCATTCCACCAGTATGGAGCTGCTACCGAGAAAGCCCTGGCCCTGGTCACAGCCAGCCTGGTGTCCTTGGGGCCTGGGAGGGCCAGTCGATGTTGTGACCCTGACTGTAGTGCTCTCTGGGGTATATATGGGGAAAGGCGGTCCCTCAGGTAGTCGAACCCTGACCATAAAGGGCTTTAAAGGTAAGAACCAGCACCTTGAAGCGAATCCGGTGTGCTATTGGCAGCCAGTGCAATGCCTTCAGGGCAGGCTGGATGTGCTCCCTCATGGGAAGACCCATCAGAAGCCTGGCTGTAGCCTTTTGCACTAGCTGCAGCTTCCGGATCTGCGACAAGGGCATCCCCATGTAGAGAGCATTACAGTAGTCTAATCTCGAGGTGACCATTGCATGGATCACTGTTGCTAATTCGTTGCGTTCGAGGAAGGGAACCAGCTGCCTGAACAGCTGAAGATGGTAAAAGGCCAACTTGGCAGTGGCTGCTATCTGGGCCTCCATTGTTAAGGTGGCATCCAGGAGCACTCCCAAGCTCCTAACCTCTAGCACTGGCACCAATGGCTCCCCATTGAAGGTCAGGAGTGGGATTCCTACCCCCGGACCGCCCCGACTTAAGCATAGGACCTCCGTCTTCAGTTGGCTCAGTCTAAGCCAACCAGCCATGGCTTCTAACACCCAGTCTAGATCTTCCGATCTGGAGCCAGACTGACCGCCCAACATCAGCTAGAGCTGGGTGTCATCCGCATACTGGTGACACCCCAGCCCATAATGCCGGGCAATCTGGGCAAGGGGGCACATGTAGATGTTAAATTAAGACCATGACACCAGCCTGTTTTGCTTTTATGTGCGTTTATGCATGGAAAAGCAGGATTATGTGCGTTTATGCAGGGAAAAGCAGGAGGGTGCTAATTCCTGTGGTGCCACTGAAATCCATGGTACACTGTTAGTAGTGGGTGAAGTTTTAGTAGCTTGTGCTATGCTGTAATATTTGATCAGTTTAAAAATTATATTGCTAAAATATTCATAAAATATTTTACTTTTTTAAATATGCAGAGTTTGACTGAAGCTAATGAAAAATTAGAGGTTCAAAATCAAGAAATGAGGAAGAATCTAGAAGAATCTGTGCAGGAAATGGAAAAGATGACCGATGAGTATAATAAAATGAAACTTATTGTGCAGCAATCTGACATTGTTATGGACCAACTAAGGAAAGAAAAAGAACAATATAAACTGCAGGTAAGCTCACATAGCCTACTCTATGTCTGCCATCAGAATGGGTAGAAGCATTTCACAATACAAAATTATTTTAAAATTTTGATACTGCAGTGGACTGATTTAGAGAGATGAAATTTTCTGAGAGGGAGGTTGACTGCTAGACCTTACATACTAGATGTCAGTAGGTCATCTGATGGGGTAAAGATTTTGTTCAGTGTAATTTAAAAATAAACCGTTCAAGGTTAATCTAGAGGACATAGACCATTGCTAGCAAAATATTCCTTGCTAATGCATGGGGTGTACAGCCTTTGTGATGTCTGCATAGTTAGTATTTCAGTGAATCATATTTAAATGCCTCTTTTGTAGGTGCATGAGCTAGCAGAGCAGCTCAAAGCAAAGAATGAAGAGGATGATCCTCTTATGGCAGCTGTAAATGAAAAAGTGGAAGAATGGAAGGTACTTCATGGCATGATTTATATTGGCTGACAGTTACAAATTACATATCGTGTATACTGTTGACCACTTATTCCTGTTTCACAGGAAATGTTAGCTTCCAAAGATGATGAAATTGCTGAATATCAGCAAATGCTGTTGACTCTGAAAGAGAAGCTGAAAATGGCACAACTTGATGCTGACAAGAGCAGTGTCATGGCACTACAACAGGTACTGTTTTCTGGCCAGTAAGCACATAACAGAAATATTGCATGTGTTTGTGGTTACTTATGTGGCCACAAGGTCCAGCGCAGTGAGGAAAAGGAACACTTAGTCTGTATTCTGACAACACGGAAGTGAGTTGTAGAGATTACATGTCCAGATACTTTTCGCATCACTATTATAGTATTTTGAATATGTTTGCAGTCTCCAAAGGATTCTATAATTTTTACTCATCTTGAAAACGTGAAGGATGAAATTAGCACTCTCATTTTGGGAGTCAAAGGGGGAGCCTTTGTATTGTATTGTCACTCATTTCAGAGATTAGCTGTGCTGGTCTGCAGTAGAAGATTTGAGCCCAGTAGCGCCTTAGAGACCCAACAAAAATTTCAGGGTGTAAGATTTCAAGAGTCAAAGCCCCCTTTGTCAGGTGGTGTCTGACAAAGGGACCTTTGGCTCCCAAAAGCTTATATGCTGAAAATCTTGTTGGTCTCTAAGGTGCTACTGGACTTGACTTTAGCCATACTTTCACTAGAATTGTAACACTTTGAACATTTAGCATGTCTCTTCATCCATGTACTCTCAGGAAAGTTGTTCTGGAGCATCATACTTCACAGTTTTAATTGGAAAGCAATGTGTACGTGCAGTGTTTCCATTAAAAAACTATAACATCATGAGTACAGGAGTCCTGGTCCAATAGTACTCTGCAGCTCTCGGAAAATGCCAGAGCAAAGATTGTGAAAGAGGTAGAGTTCAGGCTGGAAAACTGAATCAGAGTAGCTTCTTTAACGGACTTCTTAATTGTTTTGTTGTGTGGTCAGTTGTTCATACAATTGCATTGCATTTGTAAACGGACTTACATTTTATCAGCTGAAAGCATTTTTTAACATGTGTGCCTGGCTCTCATAATGCTCTTAATACATCTTCAGTATGTCTTCACTCATGCATACTATGTGCTGTACCACTCCTGTCTGATTCTTACCCCACCATTCTTCTTCTTGGGTTCAAACACATCTCCCTGTCCCATGTCACTTCATTTCTATCGCATGTTCACTTTATAGGAAACAGTAATTTGTATCCGTTCCTTTGTCAGCAATCTGAGCAAAATTAGGACTTTGAGCTTAACTCTGCCCCTGCACAATGCATATATACAGAGCTTTTCCTTTTGAAACCATCACCATATTTAAGAAGTACTAGGGTAGTTCTTACTAAAAATGATTTTTAAAAATCCCTCTCCCCACAAACAAATTCTGCTGCTACCAGCCCTGCCTCTCCTGAGTAGCTATGGGTTCTCAAGAGAGCCACTGCTGTTGCTGGAGGGGGAGAGCAGGTGGGTGGCCATGAGAGTTGCTGCCATTGCTGTGGGGGAGAAGTGGTAGTGTGGTTGGGAGAGCCACTGCCATTGGTGGGGATGGGGTATAAATTAAGTAAATAATGGGAGGCAGATAAAAGGTAGGTTGGTGAATGGCTGAGAAGGCAAGAATGAGGCAAGGAGAGGATATGGGGATTGCGAAGAGGAGGGAAGGAGGCTGGGAAATTCCTAGAAATTTGGGGGGAAGCCTGGGGAGGGTGGAGTTTGAAGAGGGGAGGGTCATCAGAAGGGTATAATGGCCAGCACTACACAACTGGGCCAAAGGTTTCCTAGGTAGAGGCTGCCAAAGGGGGAGGGGCTTAGAGGGAAAGCTTAAGAATGAGGGGCAGATAAAGGTAGGTTGGCTGTTGGATGGGAAGGAGATAGTCCAACTCCAGGTTAGGAAATTCCTAGAAGTTTCAGGGGGACTGGGGAGGGGGGGTTGAGAATGGGGGGACCTCATAGGGGTATAATGCCAGAGACTCCACTCTCCAAAGCAGCCATTTCCTCCAGGAGAACTAGGGTTGCCAGCCTCCAGGTGGAGCATGGAGATCACCTGGAATTACAACTTATTTCTGGATGACAGAGATCAGTTCCCCTATGGTATTATACACTGAAGAGGTCACTTTCCTCCCTGAACCTTCCCCTCCCAAGGGTCCACCCCCAAATCACCAAGAATTTCCCAGTCTGGAGCTGGCAACCTTAAGGGGAAATGATCTCTGTAGTTGGGAGATTTGTAGTGATTCCAGGAGATCTCCAAGCGCCTCCTGGAGATTAGCAACTCTAAAAGGGGAGAAGGAAGCAGGAAAAGGGGAGAGGCTATGGGGGCTTTCAGGAAAGGGAAAGAAGAAGAAGAGATTGGATTTATACCCCACCCTTCACTACCCAAAGGAGTCTCAAAGCGGCTTACAAACTCCTTTCCCTTCCCCTCGCCACAACAGACACCCTGTGTGGTAGGTGGGGCTGAGGGAGCTCTGACAAAAACTGCTCTTTTTCAAGAACAGCTCTTATCAGAACTACTGCTTGCCCAAGGTCATCCAGCAGGTGCAAGTGGAGGAGTGGGGAATCAAACCTGGTTCTCCCAGATTAGAGTCTGCGCACTTAACCACTACACCAAACAAAGAGGAAATAGTGGGGAAGGGGGAAATTAGATACCTCCTGTAAGTCCTTGCAGTTCCCACTTGTATAGTCTAATAGTGAAGCTGGCCAAATCTGAGGATGCTTACATATGGTGATTGGAACTGTAAATAGACAAGACAGCTCTTTCTACAAACCTAAAAAAATGACCCAAGCTTGCAGAAAAATCTGAAACTTAAAAAAGAATGCATTAGGTTTTTTTTTTTAAGAAACCCAAATGATAAAAGGAATGTCTGTAGTTTCTTAAAAACAGAAGTCGTCAGTGGCAGGTGCCAGGCAGCCACAGGATTCTAGGCTTGGTTTTTGTCAGTAATAGGCAGGGGTAGGGGGCAGGGCCCTTTGTAGAGCTGTTCTGGGCCTTGAGGGAGGCCTGGCAGCAACCACTGGGTGACTCGACACCACCCGACTGCATCACTCACCTAAGCCTGGCTGCTTGCCACTGTTCAACAGCAGCCACCCTGTTAAGGCCAGTGTGGTGCAGCGGCTAGAGCTTCAAAGACTCTGGGAGACTCGGGTTTAAGTCACCAGTCTACCATAGAAGTTCGCAAGATAATGTTGTGCCTGTCACAGATTTCAGCATAACCTACCTCACAGGCTTATTGGAAAGATAAAAAGGAAAAGAGGAGAATGATGTAAGCTGCTTTGCTTCCCACTGTGGAGATATGTGGGGTATGATGAAGTAAATAAATAATTAATATAGCTGAAGATTGGAGGCAGATAAAAGTCAGGCTGAGGAGGAAAGAATGAGGCAGGGAAGTGGAGAGGATATGGGGGTTGCCAGAAGTAGGGAAAGGAAAAATAATGTGGGGAGGAGGATACAGAGAAAGGGGTGTGCCTCTCTGCAATTCTTTGAGGGTCCCCTGCCAAGCAAATGGACCTAGCCCAGTGGGTGGCACCACACAACTGTGCCATAGTTTTCCTAGGCACTGGCTGCTGGAGGAGGGGAGTGAAGACAGAAGAGCAGATAAAGGTAGGTTGACTTTTGTATGGGAACAAGAGAAGGAAGCAGAAGAAAGGGAAAGGAAAGAGGAATTAATGGGGGAGGGAAAATGATATTCCCCCCTGCCAAGTTTTTGTGGGTTTTCATATGTTGTACTGATTCCTTCTATTCATGATTTGCACTATCCCCATTCCAATCCTTGACTTAAGTAGAATTTATATAGACACACTTAGAAAATGTGCACCATCGTAAAGACAACTAAATCAAGAAGATAACAGCAGAAAAGGTATAGATTGGATTAGACATTACTTAGCAATACTTTTCAGCATCACAGTGATCCAAGCAGTTTTCCAATAGCTAAAGGGCACTTTCACAGAGTCCACCAATTCCCCCCACAAACCCACTGCAGATCTTACAGTAATGCTCATTCTTGTTGCTTTGGGTTCCCCCACCCCTAGGGACAGCATTTCAATTGGAAGTAGTGTTGGGCTACAGCTGAAAGGGGACATTCCTCAGTTTAGTGCCAGTCCAGCTCCGTACATGCACCCTAGGCTGGCTTAGGTCCTTAGGCAAGTTTCTCTTGTAGTACCTTGTGCCCAATACTGAGAGCAAGAGCTTTCGTCTTCTGAGACTGTCCTCACTGAAGTTTGTTTGGGCCCCTTCATTTGTTTTCAAGAGGCAATGTAAAAATAAGTTTTTGAAGGTGTGTGAGGATATTCATTGTGTGGTGTAAGTAACTGTGGCTCTTATTACTTTATGATGAGTTATACATGCAATTCATGAGATTATGCAACATTCTTCTGTTTGAAAAATATATGAGGCAGTTTGCTTAGGATACAAATGATACTGCAAGATGTAGGTGTACCTATGACCCGAGTTTGAAGGAAGTTGTTTTATTGTGCAATGTTGCAAAATGTATATTTTTACTTTTCTGTTTTACTTTTTGCTGCTTTGCCTTATCCTTCTAGATAATATCTGAACTCTGTGTTGTAAGTACTTCTGTTTTTTATTGTTCTTTCTCTATTTATAGTAAGCCATGTGTGGTGTTAATGAAGTACACAGTTATACTTCTTTTTTGCTGCAGGGTGTGCAAGAGCGAGACAGCCACATCAAACTGCTCAGTGAGCAAGTGGAAGAGTACACAAAGGAGATGGAAAAGAATACTTTGATCATTGAGGACCTGAAGAGAGAACTCCAAAAAGATAAAGGCAATTTGGGTTTTCATATTTCATACAATATTAGCCATATGAAAGTAAAATATATCATTAGATTTTAAATCAGAGTTTAAAGTTGATAAAGACAGAAGTTTGCTTAATATGAACTCAAATAGTTAGGACGCTGAGCTGCAGACCAGAAGGTCGGTAGTTCAGCAATTCGAGACCCGAGTGCCACATGACGGAGTGAGCTCCCGTCTCTGGCCCCAGCTCCTGCCAACCTAGCAGTTCGAAAGCAAGACATTGTAAGTAAATTAATAGGTACCGCTTTGGTGGGAAGGTAACAGCATTCCATGCGCCTCGGTGTCTAATCATGCCGGTCACATGACCATGGAAATGTCTTTGGACAGCACCGGCTCTTTGGCTTGGAAACGGATTTGACTAGCTTTCGAGCAAGGGAAACCTTTACCTAACATAAGAAAGGAAATTCTTTTCTGAGAAAGTGGGAACTCATCTCCTGTGATTCCGTTTCAGTTTAATGTATGTTTGCACCATCCAGAAGGATACGTCTTGTAGCCCTTTTAAATGTATAATTCTTTTGCTTTCCTTTTATAGGCCTTATGGAACATTTTAGAACATATGCCATAATCTATGAGCCTTCCTCACAGAAGGCATTGTACAGTTTCTTTAAAAATTAATAATGCCAAGTTTCTTAAGTATTTTGATTGTATTTTTAGGTCTGCCATCATTCACTCTAAAGGATTCTATTGGAGAAATGCAAGAAAAACTATATAAGCTGGAACAAAAAACTAAGGAAGCTGAGAGAGTAGCCGAACTTGCAGAAATAGATGCAAAGGAGAAGGATAAAGAACTTATTGAGACTCTGAAGAGAATGAGGGATTATGAAACGGTATATAATTCTAATCTTATAAAATAGCACTACAGATAAGATTAGAATTTCAATAGCCAATCCATATGCAAAAGAATATCCTCAAGAAAGCTCCTCCATTAGCATGTCACAGCCTGGGGAAGTCCTACAAGATAATGATTCAGCCCTACCCCACCTTCCTGAGTAGATATAAATTACCTGCCTACCATTTTTCTTCTCACCTTGACACAGAGAGTACTCCTTCTGTGTTATACCTCTGAGGATGCTAGTCATAGCTGCTGGCAAAATGTCAGGTACTACACTGCCAAACCATGCTCATACAGCCCGTGGGCTTTTCCTCATAGCTCCCTTCCATGTTGGATTTGCTGATGATTATAATATACTGAAGTCTGGAAACTATTAAAACTATTTACTGAGATGGGATAAGCAGGCAGGACTACAAACTGTCAAGCACTGAAGATAAATTTGGTGTTATACAATTTATTCCTTTCTTTTTTTTAAGGGTATATATGGTCTGGAAGATGCTATTGCTGAAATAAAAGATTTAAAAAAGCAAATTAGAGTAAGAGATCGTGAAATTCAGACATTAATTAAAGACGTCAACAAACTTGAACTCAAAATCAATGATTTTCTTGATGAAAATGAAGATCTTAGGGAACGACTAGGTATGTATTTCATTAAATCTTGCAGATATGTAATTGATCATTGGCACTGAAATAGCCCTCTTAACTGGACTTAACTAGCTGTTCTTATTTTATCCCGTTAAAAAGTCAATTCAGTTTCTTTAGTGGACTTGGAATGTAGGGTTGATCAGTTCTTCCCAAGTTAACATTGTCAACAAGCTGTTCATATACACTATAGATAGAACAAATTTAGCAGAACACACTGCAGTGTTGAAGTTCACAGATAACTTCTGAAGCAGTTTCCTGCACCATCACACGTCAGTGAAAACTGAAATGGCCTCCAATATAGTAAGAAGAACTAGACCTAGAAAGAGAAATGGAAATACCTTGAGTGCAAGCCTTTGTAGTTACTAAGAGGCTTATTAGTTTGCAGTCTTTATTTCTATTTGGGGATCTTCCAAATGGCAAAAATTTCCTGGGGCTTTATCATTGCTGTTGCAGCTGCCAGTTAAGTGCAGGAACAATGGCACTTCCATAAGGTAGGTTGGTTTTTCTGCATTTCTCCTGCCCTGGTCGCCTGTGACAGCCATTCCCCACCATGTTACTAGGGGTTCCCAGAGTTCTTTTTTAAAAACACCAACAATTGTTCTATTGGGTCTGCTCAGCATGTTGTTTTCATGACAAATATTTCTTTTGCCTTTTTCCGCATGACGGGGCTGGGAGAGGATGAGTAGAAGTACTTCTAAATAAGTGGATTCAGGTGGGGTAGCCATGTTGGTCTGAAGCGGCAGAACAAAGTTTTAGTCCAGTGGCACCTTTAAGACCAATAAGTTTTATTCAAGGTATATGCTTTGCAACACAACAGCTACTTTAAAGAAGAAGAAGAGGAAATTGGATTTATACCCCGCCTTTCACTACCCAGAGGAGTCTCAGAGTGGTTTACAATCTCTTTTCCCTTCCCCTCCCCACAACAGACACCCTGTGAGGTAGGTGGGGCTGAGGGAGCTCTTTTGAGAACCGCTCTGCTCTTTCCAGAACAGCTCTGAAAGAACTGTGACTGACCCAAGGTCACACCAGCAGCTTTATGTGGAGGAGTGGGGAATCAAACCTGGTTCTTCCATATTAGAGTCCATGCTCCTAACCACTACATCAAACTGGATCTGAGGTCACCCACTGAATTTCCTGGAAGGTTGAACTATTCTCTTACAGGTTTCTCAGTGTTGTGATTCTTAATGTCAGATTTGTGTCAATGTATCCTTTGGCATAGGGTTTAACCTATTTACCCTGTGTAGAGAACTGAAGGACATTGTTGGCATTTAATGGCATGTACAATGTTAGAAGATGAGCATGTGAATAAGTCTGAGATGGTGTAGTTGATGTTGTTAGGTCCACTGATTGTGTTGTCTGGGTGTATATGGCAGCAAAGGAACTTCAGGAACAGCCTAGAAAGGGAAATAGCTGAGTTGCAAGTTATTACAACACTCAGAAGAATGAAATCCCCAGGACATAACAGGGATATTGGTTTTTAATCTCACTGCATGTGCTAACCTCATCCAGTCCTTACATCTGTATTCTCACCAATCCCCAGAAGGGCCATACATCCTCTTTATTTCTTATTTGGAATAGTAGATTGTAATGTAATGAATAATAGAATGTAATGTAATTTGGAATGGTAGATTGGAATGTATTTCTCTGATCTGGGAATGGGAGGTACTCTACACATCCAGTTGCCCCGCTTCAAAGAAGATGCTGCTGTAAGGTCGACTCCATGCTTGAGAGGAGAGGGATGGAGTGTAATGGCAGGGTCTCAGTTAATTACTCTCAGCAATCCACAATTAAGGATACATCGGCCCATCAATCTCCAATTTTGACATTTATTTCCTTCACTATGTTTCCCCCCAGAATTAAACCCAAACAAATGGTAGCTATATAAACTAAGCGTGTTTTTCCTGCCTGGTCCTTGCATTTGTTAAACATGTTCATTATGTTGTATGCTAATTTACTGGTCACCCTCTAGCTATATATATGGACTGGTAACTTCCATTTCATTGTATCCGAAGGAGAGTGTTTGCACATAAAAGCTTATACCTTGAATAGGGGTGTGCGCACAGTATAAACTGAGCCAAAACTACCAGAAAAACACCTTAATGGTATTTGCAGGTATTTTTTCAGCCAGGCATTAGCTGAGGTATTTATCCGGCTATTCAATATGGCCAAAACCAGAAAATCCTGAAAATTTGGATTCGGGATTTTTCAGGACCACTGGATAGCTGGCGTTAAAGGATGTTTAAAGGGATTGCAGTCCTTTTAAGCACCTTCTGGGTGAAGCATGACTTGGAGAAGGCATTTAAAGGGACTGTGAGCCTTTTAAATGCCTTCAGAGTTCAGCTGCAGCTTGCAAAACCCCTGGTCCAATCTTTTTGAAATTTGGTGGATTTTTTGAGGGGATGGACCAGCAGCTATGCTGTAAATTTGGTGCATCTAAATAACCCCTACAGAGCCCCAGAAACCCACAGATGACTATAATGGTCCCCACAGGGTATAATGGAGTCGGAAAAATTTGGCACTCCCAAATATTTACCGAATCCGTATACCATACCCATACTGGGATTCAGGAATATTGGGAAACACTGATATTTTCTTGGGTTCGATATACCTGAACCCGAAAGATACATTTTTTGTACATCCCTAACCTTGAATAAAGTTTTTGGGTTTTTAAAATATTATTTCTTTATTGCGTAAATAACACAGACAAAACATAGATATAAAAATATGGGGTAAACATTTCAAATCTTAACTAATAGTTTAGCCTTATCCATAGTACTCATTAAGTCTTTATATCACTTTTACAGGATATTAAGATGTTATTAATATCTTTTTCTCAAATCTTAATTATATCATGTTTTTAAATTGTCATAATTTCCAACCCAAGTATAAAATTTTGACCAGGTATTTTCAAAAGCTTCCTTTGTTTGATTTGAATAAAGTTTTGATGGTCTTAAAGGTGTCACTGGACTCAAACTTTATTCTTAATAAGTGAATTGCATTGCCACTGCTGAAGCAGTATGGAGAGCCATTTTTTACCCGCCAGTGCTGGAAAGAATCTTGAAGCATTAATAAGCTCAAAAGTACAGATTGTGAAGTGCACTGTGGAGGTTTCAGAACATAGCAAGAAAGTTGACTTCTATGTCTGAAGAAGATGGATTATAGGTCAGTGTAGAAGGTTCCAGGCTCAATCCTCGGCATTTTCCATTAAATGGCCTGTAAGTAACAGTGTTTGCAGATCTTAGAGAACTTTTCCTTGTTGGAGTAGATGGTCCTGGGTAGGATAGATCAGTGGTTTGACCTGTAAGGCATTTTTATGACTTCATATCCTGCAAGTGTGGATGATTTTGCTATTTCCTGGATGAAAGCAATATTATCCTTCTATGCCCATGGTTTTGATCTTATTATTGATTAAAAAAAAATCTAGTTAAAAAAAAATGGAAGAGCCAGGAGTTCTTCTGCTCTCGTCTACATTCTTTGGTCTGCCATCCAAATGGGAATATTCCTAGTAAACTAAATAAATGTTGATCACTTTTATTCTGTATATTACATTTCAGGTCTTGATCCAAAGACAATGATTGATTTAACTGAATTTAAAAACAGCAAAGTACTAAAACAGCAGCAGTATAAGGCTGAGAACCAAGTCCTACTGAAAGAGGTAAGGGATAAATTTCATACTGTTTTCTATGAAATGAAGTTCTGCAGAGAAGCAACCAACACTGAAATACATTGCAGATTGAAAGACTAGAAGAAGAAAGAGTTTCCTTGAAACAACAGATTCGTAAAATGGCTCAGGAGAAAGGAAGAAGAGCTGCGACTTTAGGTAGGTTGGCTTTATGGCTTTTGAAAAAGCTGTTTTAAATGTGTTTGGTGCTTTGCAACAAACTGTTGAAGATTCTAGAATAGTAGCCATTAATTTCTTTCATCCTCAGATGCCTCTGAGAAAACTCTTGGTGAAATTGAAGATTAAACATTATAAAGAGTCTTTCACAAATCTCTCTGATGTTGTCATGAATGCAATGTGTTTTCGTCTATAATAACAGACCTTGAAAGACTATTGCAGAATTTTCCTGGAAGATATGCAAAATGGTTGATTCAATACAAGATCTCCTTAGGAGGTTTCTACTGCTGAAATGTTGTTTTATTTTGAGGAGCCCCCCTTGATATCTTCTCTCCTGTGATTTTAAACTAGGGTTGGATTCTGATGATCTACAGCTTACTGATAGCTTCACTGATGAGTTGAAGACGAAAAAGGGGAAATCTGACTTTATGAGTACTGTTGACATTGATGAGGTAAAAGCAAAGGTAAAGTCTAATATTGCTTCCATTCCTTGTAGATTTCATTTTCATTTTTGTAAAAGTGGAAATACCACTGGTGGTTTTGTATAAAATGTTATATAAAACAGAATAATGGCTGCATTCAAACATTAATGAGTACAAACAGACTTTGTTGCATCTGTGCAAACTGGAGTTTGCTTTTCTCTCACACAAATGGGGATTCTAAATTAGATTAAAACGGAGGTTCAGAATCCTTGTTTGTGTGGGAAGGAAAAAATCCTCTGATTTGCCCTGATGGTTACATCTATACATCACAGTGGACTGGAACTTAATTCAGGGTGTCCCAAATGTAGCAGTCTTAATTGTGCTCTATATGCCAGGCAAGAAGAAGTGAGGCAAGCATCCTCTGAGATACATACAAAGACAGGATGATAATCTTTTAGAAGTATGCTTCCCTTTCTGGGTTACACAAACTGCTGTTCTTTCTAGCAGTTCAACAAATAGTCCTTCGAAGTCTGCTTAGGCTGCAGTTCCATGTCTACTTACCTGGGACTAACCTCACAGAAGACTCTGGGATTTACTTCTGAGTAAACATGCACTGTTATACAAACCAAGCTACTGTTAAAGTACATCTTATTAACTAAATTAAGATGCTGAAAATAAGAGGAGGATTTCAAAGTTTATATGCCTTGGGAGAATGAATGGGTCTGTTCTTTTTATTACAGTTTGATTCAGTGCAGAGATCTAAGAAAAGGATAATGGTGATGGTTCCAAGGCTTTTACAGTCAGTGCATTGTACATTTCTCCAGGGCTTCAGGTCATGAAGTCATTAAGTACAACTTTACATAAATTAGTAATGATAAGTCAGATCTACTAGTAGATGCACAGAGTTACTATTTTCTTTTAAAACCAACCAAAGGCCTAATAAAGAACACTTGATCCAGAGGCAGGAAAGGCAGGTGAAAGGAACCGAAAACACTTCTCCTGCCCATATGCCAGAACATCCTCTTCCGCAATTGCCTCTAGATGATAAGGTAGTCTTCCTCTTTCTACTGAAAAGCCGGTGTCATCCTATATATTACAGAAAGTCCTGCTGAGCATTGAGGAGGACAGTTCTGAAATGAAGTTAGTGGATTTGAGAACTGATTTGCCAGTCATGGGTAAAGACCAGATATATTTTCCAGAATCGTGGCTTGTAGAACACTTGGAAAAAGACCTTGATTGTGGCCAGACAGTGAATGTATTTCAGATAGATCCAGTTGAGAGTCTCATAAGGAAGCTGAAGAATGAATTAATTTTGCTTAGGTCAGAGGTGAGGAGATTTTGGTGAATTTATAGTTAGAATTATGGTATGTGACATATTTTAGAATGTGTAATTGATTATACATGCACAAAATACTGAGTTAAAGATGTGAGAACTTGTGAAAGGTGGACAAATTATCAATTACTTTGATACTGAAATTAGCGGGGTGGGCCTATAAATGTTTAGGAATGGGCATACTGATACCAGTCTTGGTGCATCTTAGTAAAATGGTTGCTTAGTAGAACAGACATGGCGCTGACAGTATTACATGGAAATAATCTATCTGCAGCATTATAAAATATGCATTTACGGATGTATGCATTTACAGGTGTATGGTAAGGAATATATAACATCAAAGCTTTACATGTTGAAATGCTTCAATAAGTGAATGAGCATACTAATTACTGCTTGTTCTTCACAATGAGCATATAATGACAGGTATTTGAAATGAAAGTATGTGGTAATGTAATTGGATCTAATACTGTGGGACTTGTGGTATTTCACCTTTATTGCAAAACTAATCTATATGCTTCATTTAGACAATGTTCTGTTCTAAACCACTGGAAATTGACCTCATATCTATGATTAATGTTTCTTTAGTTTCTCTTCTGTTTATAGTTTACTAAGAATGTTAGAAATTTTTGAGAATACATTTTTACAAACTTTCCATTTTTGTTGACAGAACAACTATCTTGCAAAAGAATTAAATGAACGAGAGAAAGATTTGGAACAAAACAGGACCATAATAGCCAAATTTCAGTCCAAATGTAAGCAGAAATTAATGGTATTATATGAAATGATGCAATGGTTTATAGATCACAAAAATAAAAAATGATCTTGCCTAAATATATCAATCTTACAACTTATTTGTGGACTTGACATTTAGTCATTAGTAAAACCCTTGATTTTAAAGAGTCAAAAAATAAGATTTTCTGAATTAAGACACTTAGTAGTGTTGGCTATTTGATCGGTATTTTTACAGCATTGCTTTTTCAGAACAAAATCATCAACCTCAATTATGTGTAACTTGTTATTGTGAAATAATTAAACTTACTTTAAAATTATAGTAATTGCAACAAATTTGTAACAATGACAGATGAGAGCTCTATAATTATGAATGGTTTTTCCTCTTTGACTTTTATCTTGGAACAAAAGAGTAAGCGTATAGTTTCAGTTTAAAAAAAGAAACCTCCCAAAGCAAAGTAACAGTAATTGTTCATGGGCAAAAAATAGGAAGTGAATTAGGGCTGCCAGGTCCAGGTTGGGAAATACCTGGAGATTTTGGGGGTGGAGCCTGAGGACGGTGGGGTTTGGAGGGGTATAATGCCATAGAGTCCACCTTCAAAAGCTGCCATTTTCTCCAGGTAAGCTGACCTCTGTTGCTTGGATAGGAGTCATAATAGTGTGAGATCTCCAGCCACTACCTGGAGGCTAAAACAAAAGGGAAAATACACAGTAAGAAACTGTCAACACAAAAGAAACTGTGTAATGGATAATACACAGTTTCTTTTGTGTTGACACTACCTGGAGGCTGGCAACCCTAAAGTGAATTTTAATTGTCAGTATTTGATTGATTTTTAATTGACTGAGTTCCAGCTCTGCACGTGTTTCCATTTTACCTAAAAGTCCTTAACTTTTAAAGTTCCTTCTGCAAGAATTGTTTTTAATTACTCAGGATAGATTTGAATATCAGCATGCAGATGCTCTAAGCATCTACTTAGTTTTCCTGTATCAGATCATTTAACTCCTAGCCAGAGGTACATCCCAGTAACATTTCAGGTTCATTACAAATATAGTACACAAGTAAATTCTATTAGAGCATCTTCTGTAGTCATGCTTTAATAAGAACAATCTTAACATTGGCTAAATCCAGAAAACATTATAGTATCCATAATTGTTACACAGATAATCAAAGGAGAGTAATTTCATGTTTCCATAAAATTTTCTTACCCCCAAAATAAAGCTCTCAATCAATTCAACTTTGCTTATTTATAGTGTTTTAACTTCATCTCCTAACAAGGGTCCAATCTGCATTGGTATTTCCCACCGTTGTGCAAATGATCTCACATCATCTCACAAATCTCTGTCCACATTTCATGCCGCATCCACTCTCCTATTGTTTCATCTCAGCATCATATGTCTGCATCATTTTATTGCCATTTAGTGATCACTCCGAGGTCACTACAGTGTCTCACCACCTTATCTGACTGTGGTTTTAAGGTGGTACAACTGCTCCTCCCCACTGTTGAGCCATTTTGAGCAAAAAGCAGACAACTGGAGTCAAATTCTCTCCCCCCCCCTTTTCTAAGGAGATATGCAAATTGTCACAAAGGAAACAAGTTAGCTGAAAATCTAGTCCTCTGTGTTTAAAAGCAGCCAGGGAACATTTTTCTGCAATTGTATTGGGGGAGGGGGCATTGGAAGCATGCCCACCCCTGACCCATTTGTTATTTCCTGGGGCAGTCTCCAGAGTGCCCTGCCTGGCAACTGCTGGGTGTTTTGTGTTTTTTAGCCAGCTCATTCTATTTTTCCTGCCCCCCCCGCCTCTCCCTCTGCCATATCACCCCTTTTACTTTGGGGGGGGGGATCGCAGGTGCCATTTCCTCCCCGCAGTGCAGCATAGTGCAGTGCCCTGCCGGTGCCCCTGGAAGGCTGCTCCTACCCCCTCTCTCTTGCGCTCTCCCTAAACAACTTGCGTCCTGATGCAGACAGAGGAGAGCTTTATACTGAGCCAAATGGGAAGCTGGTGCCACAGCAGCACGGAACAGCTTTACATAGCAAATGCAGACTGGGCCAAGAGCTAACAGTTCCCTGGTAAAGGGTTAGGGTTGCCAAGTCAAAATTTTGCCGGAGCGGGGAACTCCCCGCTGGAGGGTGGCTGGCACGTGTGCGTCGCACGCACGTCACCCAGAAGTGACGTGACGACACCGGGCACGCTGGGGGCGGGGCCACAACCATCTGAGGGAAAACCATACAGTTTTCCCTCGGATGACCGTGGCACCGCCCCCAGCATGCCTGGCGTCATCACGTCACTTCCGGCTGACGCGCACGTCGGGGTGGGGTTCCCCCCGGGGCCCGATCCGCCAGCGGCGGGGAACGGGTCTCTGGGGCGGGGGTTCCCCCGCCCCCTGGGGGGACTTGGCAAGCCTATTAAGGGTGCACATTTTTGGCACAACGTTATATGGTGCTTGAAGCCATAAGGTAATTTATATTTGTAATGTCTTTTTAAAATATTATATAACAACTGTTCATTCATTCTTGCTAACTTTTATCCTAAGGTCTATACAAAAGCAGTGATTGCCAGTTTCTCATACATATGAATATCTTTTTGGCCCTCAACTAGCACACCCATCTTTGAATCATATCTTTAGTTTTGTGAACTTGGACATTCTCAAATGCTCTCTACACCTGGGCCTTAACAAACAGCATCTATTGATAAGTTATATAGCTTCTAATCTATAAAAGGCCACACAATTATGTTACTATGTTTTCTTGCTCCTCTCCAAGGCTATTCTGTTCTGGATCTCTAAAGTCCCTTTTGTCATGTTTTAGCTGGGAGGCCAGGCTAGTTTTGTCCTTGTGGATAGTGGCATCTTCTATTATCTTTTTTGGTCAAGTCCATCAACAGTATTTCTGGCCATAACTGTGACAGAATGAGCATAGAGTATAGTATAAGATCACATTAATTTCTGTCTGTCTGCTCCAAATTTGTTTGAAATTGTAAAATATAAACCATTGAATTACAGTAAAAGAATTAGCAGATGAAAACAAGCAGCTTGAGCAAGGCATGAAAGAAATTCTGCAAGCTATAAAGGACATGCAGAAAGATACTAGTGTGAAAGATGGAGAAACTGCTCTTATGATCCCAAGTCTGGAACGATTAGTAAACGTAAGTTTTATTTCACTTATTTGATTATTAAAGGGATTTCACTTTCACTCTCTTCTGTACAAAATGTGATAGGTCAAAATACAAATGAAGATGCGCTGGTTGGGGGAATTGTATCTTTATTAAGTATTTATAAAAGACTTGAATAGTATTTTAAATTGAGGTGAGGAACATGCAGTGCTGAGAAAGACATCAATAAAGATCGGGGGTTTCTGCAGGCAGTTTTCAGGATCCTAGGAGTTATACTTTCACTCTCGCCTTTGTTGTTGCAAACTTCAAATTGTGATTAGATGATGTCCTATAGTGACTTGGCACCTGCAAGGTGCTTATAAACTTTATTTCTAGAACCAGTATGGTTACTTTAACAGAAGCATTTGGAGTTAACAATAAAAAACTGGTAATAGTGTATTGGCTAGGAGACTGGGCTATAAATCAGGGAATTCTTGTTTTTCATCTTGCTTTGTGGGGAGGCTTTAGACAACTCGCTCTCAGCTTATTCCTTAAGAAGATAAATGGGAGATGTAAATTGGCCATGGCTGTGGCACCATGCAGGTAGACAGCTTCTTAGTGGCTAATGAAACTCAGTGCTGGCAAGTTACATCATCACACTGTGCTCTCACAAGTTTCCACTAGTACTGAGAAGCTGTGTGCCTATGTGGTATAGCAGCTGTGACAACAGCAGACCCATCCCTGCCTCCCATTGCCTACTAGTAATGATGCAGCGTTCGCCTCCCTAGCCAGTGATACATAGGGGGAGGAGGTTGGGATACTCCCTGCGTATCAACCCACTCCAAATCAATCCATTGAATAAAATTGTTAAATAGCTGTTCTGAATCTGTCCAGTATGCTTTTATCCTGCCTTTTGATTCCCTACTCTTCCACTTGCACCTGGCTGGATAACCTTGGCCAAGCCATAGTTCTGGCACAGCTGTTCTTGAAAAAGAGCCGTTTCTGTCAAGAGCTCTCTCAGCCCCACTTACCTCACAGGGTGTCTGTTGTGAAGAGGGGAAGGGAAAGGAGTTTGTAAGCCGCTCTGAGACTCCTTTGGGTAGTGAAGGGCGGGGTCTAAATCCAATCTTTTCTCCTTCTCCTCCTCGGAGCTCAGAGCAGCATATGTTGTTTTCCCTTCCTCTGTTTTATCTTCACTATATTCCATGGTTAGCTTGAGAGAGTTACTGACCCAAGCATCCAAGCATGCTGCATGGCAGAATGGGGATTAGAGTCCAGATATTAGTCCAACATCATGTTCATTGCACTGGCTCTGAGTGAAGTTGCATTTCTCCTAAAGAAGCAGGGTCATAACTTGTGGTTGCTCTTAGATCCAAATCTAAGGAAACACATCTACCCCAAATTACACTAGCTGCCTATTCCATTCCAAGCAAATGACTGATTCTCTCCTTTAAAGCGTGAATTGAGTACCTGAAGTATCTGACTGAGTATCTGTTTGCACACATGTGAACCTGCCTGTCAGTTAAAACCTCCTTCAGAGATTCTCTCTGTTTCCATTCAGAGTTCAATTGGGCTTACTACAATGGAGAGAGCTTTTTCTCTTGTGTACGTCTGTCTGGCATCTGCTAGCCAGGATGTCAAAGTTGGTGCCCAGTGATAATACTTTTATCTTACAATGTTTTGTGAATTGTTGATGGTTGATTCTAGCTGCATTTGGATATCAGGTGTAGCTGTAGTTAAGGGAAAATGCACTAACCTGGCTACTGATTGGGCATGCACAGCTTTTTTCCTTCTCCTTCCTCTTCTTTCTAATGCCCAGAAATGTGTGTCTGTGTTAATCAGTGACACAGCAATCCTATACAGAATTACTCTGGTCTAAGCCAATGGAGCAAATTAAGGAACTCTGCATAGGATTGCACTGTTTATTTTCCCCTATTAACAGGGATTCTAACTGTGGTTTAGGATCCTGGCTAGTGGGAGGAAAACTAACTCTGGTTAACCTGCATTTGTATGTCATAGGTAACCAGACTTAACTGTTTAACTGGGATTGTTGATGCAATAATGCAGGGGGCATATATTTTTAGCTGAGGGTGTACGAAATTGTCATTTGTTTTGTAAATACTATTGCCAGATAATGTTTGTGAAATTATTAGAATGTGCAAAAGTGCTATATAAATGCGAAGCAGTTTTATGATTATCCTTTGCAATTTTTTTTGGTCTGTATTTGTCATTTTAAACTTATTCTGTGATTTTCTGTACTATACCATTTCTGTTAATCTTGCCAATTGTGTATTCTTTTTTTAAAAAAAATCTGATTAATAATATTAATGAAGCGATCTGGACAAATGATAAGTAATCATGTTTTCAGCCTGTGTAAATATAGCTTTATGGAGAGCATTAATTTTCTTGTGAATGAATTGTTAACAGGCAATTGAAATAAAGAATATAGAAGGAGTCTTTGATGCCAGCTTGCATCTGAAGACCCAGGTTGATCAACTTACAGGACGCAATGAAGAACTACGGAAGGAGCTGAGAGAATCTCGAAAAGAGGCAGTAGACTTTTCAAACCAGCTAGCCAAAGCGAATGCAAAGGTAGGTATGCCAACTTGATCTAAGCTTCAAAGGGAACCCTGGTAATAATGTGAAACCAAGAACATAAGGTGCGGTGCTGCTCGTTAGGGTGTGGGGTGCAGGCGACACAAAGACGACAGGAGACAAGCTTGCAGGAACTGTCAGGAACTGACTGAAACCTCTCGGCTTCAAGCTTTTATTTTATACACATTTTCCCCCCCTTCAAGCATTAGAGCATCCTAAAGGAATGTTTGTGTGTGTGTGTGTGTGTGTGTGTGTGTTCTCGTTCTCTCAGGCAAGCTCTCTGTTATCTGCCTTTCTCAAGGCTAACTCACTGCGTAGTTAGCAGTAAACAGATTCCATCTCGGCCTCTCATGACGTATAAGCATTTCAGCTCCCAACCTCCAGCCAGGGGATTCCTGGACTGCTTTCCTACATGTCATCCCTTTTTTTATTGTTTAATGTTTTAATGTGAAATCCTTGTTGCCAAGGTAGCATCACATGATGAATTTAGCATATCAGCAGACGTGTCCTCCATGCAGGAACAATGTTACCACTTTCGGGCCTGCCTCACAAAAGCCGACAACATTGCTCCTATATTGCATCCGCCTTGTGCAAGTAGCTAGGTTCCCAATTTTTCCAGGAGAACAGCCAGGAGAACAGTGCCCTCGTGCGGGTTTGCCACGCAGTCAGCACTGCCCTCCTACATGTCATTCCTTTTGTTTTTAAGGTGAAAATCCCTTTTATTGTTGTAATTTGTAGCTAAGAGGGAAGTCTGATCTTTATCATGTTGAGGCGAGGAGCGATAAAGAGAGAGCTGTTGGCAATCATTGAATACATACATAAAGCAAAATGGCTCCAATGAGGAGTATAAAAATAAGCGCAATGAATGGTCTCAGCCATTGTCATGAAATCTAGTAAAACAATCAATCTAATAATCAAGAGGAGGGGGTAACATCAGCAATAGCTGTAAATACCATTAAATGCTGGCATAGCTTAAGCAATACCAATAATCATGTTGGTGGTTATATATAGACATAATAACAACAATATTCTTGAATTAATGTACAAGTACCTCCCCACTGCACAGTCAGGAGATCTATAGCTAGTAGTTATGAAGCACAACCTGTGCCAGAGAAAAAGGCTATTGGTTGAATGCTGTAAGGAGTAGACTGAGAGGAGTTTAAAGGACTGTTCAATTTCAGCAGATAAGTTATCAATAGCTTG